TGGCTTCCATCTCTTATTGTCAACCGCATCTTGAATGAGATGAGACAATTTTTCCATGGCTAGAACAAAAATGTAGGGAGATAAAGGATCACCCTGACGAACTCCTCTTGAAGGAAGGAAATCACCTGCAATGGCTCCATTCCAAAGCACTGAGACCTTATCAAAGTTGATACAATTCATTATAATATTTGTGAACCAGTGTGGGATTTGAATTTCATCCAAAATTTTACGAACAAACTCCCAATTTAACATATCATAAGCCTTTTCCAAGTCGATTTTAATTGCCATGAAACATTTTCTTCCTCTCATTCTACGCATTGAATGGATCAGCTCTTGGGTGATGATGATGTTGTCCTGGATATGTCGTTTAGGAACAAAACTAGCTTGGAAGGGAGACACCATCTCTTCCATTAGGGGCTTCATTCTGTTAACCAGAATTTTACTGAGGATTTTATAAATGACATTGCACAAAGAGATTGGTCTGAGCTGCTTAGCACTTTCAGGTCTCTTTACTTTTGGAATGAGGACCAGAAGAGTCGAGTTCACAAGGTGAATCAGATTGGGATTCTGAAACATCATGTTAACATCCTTAATAACATTAGTCTTAATAAGACTCCAATTCTTATGAAAAAAGGCAGCTGGAAAACCATCTTCCCCTGGAGCTTTTGACCCATTGATACTAAAAACAGCTTTTGAAATTTCGTCATCCGAAAGATTACGAGTCAGATTAGATAGCAGATCATCGTGCAGAAGGGGCCAAGTAGTCTTTGATTTCACCCAATCACGATTAAGGACTTCCTCACTAAACAAGTTGCTATAGAAATCTGTTACCAATTGATGAAGTTGTCTAGCTTCCTTCACCCAAATCCCATCAGAATTTTTTAACTCAAGAATCCTATTCGAACTTCTTCGAGTAGCTGTTTTAATGTGATAGAATTTGGTGTTTCTATCCCCATCATTTATCCATTTCACCCTGGCTTTTTGAAACCATAAGATCTCTTCTTGTATGAGAACCGCATCAAGGTCCTTCCTAACCTCCTTTTCTCTAGATTGGAGAGATAAGTTGGTATGATAATCAACATGATTCTGAATTTCTGCAATACTATGCAATAGGTTAGTCTTCCTATTGAAAATGTTGCCAAAGACTATCTTGTTCCATCTTTTTAAATTTGGAGTCAGATCATGCAGATTCGTTCTAGTGTCTTTCACAACATTCCAGCTCCTAGCCAGAAACTGAGTAAAGTTATAATGCTCCATCCAAGCAATCTCAAAGCGAAAGGGACGATTTTTCCAACCTGTGTCCAAGTTAGACAAGTAGACCAAAATGGGACTATGATCAGAATAAATCCGTGGAAGTACCTTAACGCCAGCATCAGTAAAGGTAGTCTTCCAACTTGCATTAGCACAGGCTCGGTCCAGCCTCTTAAAAACACGATCAAGATGAAGAAACTTCGGACCCTTCCATGTAAACCAAGGACCTGATCCTCCAAGATCCAGCAGCTTGCAATTATGAAGAACATTTGCAAAATTGGAACATCTGTTTAAGTTAACTCTACAGCCACCTTTCTTCTCATCCCGATTTGCTATTTCATTAAAATCCCCAGCCACCAACCACGGCCCATTACAATGGAGACTAATGTTTAGCAGATCATCCCATAGCTCCTTTCTATTTTCTTCCCTAGGACTCGCATAAACTGCCGTGCAAGAAAAGGAAGGAACATGAAAATTCTGAACTTTAAAATGAACAAACTGTTTTGTGTGATTAACAATTTCAACGAGACCAGTCTCATCATTCCAGAGGATCCAAATACCCCCTGAGTAACCTTCTGCCTCTTGAACAAAAGCATGCTTAAACCCAGATTTTCGGATAATGTCAGCAGCTTTTTGACCACTACACCGAGGTTCTAGAATCACTACAATACTAGGCTTATATTTCCTAGTAAACAGAAAAAGCGATTTTTGAAACTGGGGTTTCACTGCTCCCCTACAGTTCCAGAAGAATAAATTCATTAAAAACTATGTTGAACGCAAGACTCTAAGGTTCTTGCATCCTTCATTCTTGAAATATCTTCCTGGTGAACTCTGTCCACCTCCATGCACGTAGAGATGGTTGAGGTTTCAGGATTTTGGATGTCGCTGCTGTTGTCAACTGATATATCAGGACCAGTTTTATGAAATGTGTCATATAACTGCTCTTGATTCTGGTTCAAAGTGCTATCTGCTTTCATCCCATTTTCCTGATCATGTTGATTTGCTTGCATAGGACTAACCGCCATGGGAGTAGCAATTGATGGAGATGGTGGAACGGGAGTATGATCTTCACGATTTTCACTCTGGACTGGACACCTCTTACCCGTGCTTGAAGAATGAGCCGCATGCATAGTAGGAACCGTTGATTTAGTCCTAGGGGTATCTTTGGACTTTTTGGATTTAGTCCATATTTTCTGAGGAATTTCAAACTGAGGGGCCCCCATATGAGGAGTAACAAAATTAATTATTTGATTATGATCCTCCTCATTAATAGGTCCAGCTGTTAAGATTGCAAACCGTGATTGCGTAATTTCCTCCTTATCTCCATGATTATCTCCATGATTATCGCTGGTCATAACTCCCTTATTACCATGATTATCGCTGGTCATAACTCCCTTATTACCATGATTACCATGATTATCGCTGGTCATAACTCTCTTATCACCATGATTATCTCCATGATTATCGCTGGTCATAACTCCCTTATCATTATTCCTTTGTAACGTTTTTGAACCAGCGCCTGGCTGGACTGCACCGGCCGTCTGAGGAGGTTGCCGGCTCCTGCGTTGACGGTTAACAACCATCCAAGGTCCCAATCCTTTGCTTCGATGGAATTCTGAGTTGCCAGGTTCCTCTTGATGAATTTGATCGTCATTATGAATATCGGATGAACTGCGTTGCTTTGGAGCAGCTGAACAATTCTCGGTGCTATGTCCATATTTCCCACAACCAAAACAAATGAGCCCTAATCCTTCATACTCAATTTGTTTGGTAAATCCTTCCAGCACATAATCACCCTTTAATGGCTGAGATAGGTCCAGTTCCACACATATTCTTGCAAACCGTCCTCTTACATGAGCATTTGTATTGCTGTCTACCTTGATCATCTTGCCTAACCAGTTTCCAATCCTTCTAAAAAAAGCTTCATCATAGAATTCAATGGGAATATCCGGTAGACGAATCCAAGCAGCAATCATAGCAATTCCAGCACTATTAGGTCTGAAAGTTGGTTCCCACTTCCTCAACGATAAATAATGACCCAAAACAATCCATGGACCACCGTTCAATGCAAAATTGAGATCATCCTTCTCACTAAACTGGACTACGAAAAAGTCATTACCAATATCAGTGACATTGATTTTGTCTTTTCTAGCCCATAAGACATTTATTTTTTTCTTCATAAACTCCACCCCAATTTTCTTCCCAAGGAGTTTAACAATCAGAGCTTTCTCCCAAGGTTTCCTCATTCTCTTCCTTGCTCTTTTGGTGCAACTAAAATAAGTACGCCCATCATCTTCCTCCCACATCTTAATTCCTCCATGGTTGACATCCTCTTCCTCAGCAGGTTCCTCCCCATCTAAGTCTTCATCGGCAGACGCCTCTCCTTCCCATTCATCATCTTCTCCATTATGACGCATCAGAATTTCCCTCCAGGTTGAACGTTGGCCATTCTCATCTTCCATCCAACCTTCATGTCTAGGTATCATGTTAAACTTATAATACCCATTAATTTTTCAAAGAAACATAAGATATCACAAATATTTATATTAAATTCAATAAAATGGTAATAGTAATCCAATGAATCTAATAGTTAGAAGTACTAAAAATGCAATGCAACGTAACCTTTGAACCTTTTTTTTAGTTTCTACAACATGCGTTGAAGTGTCGGGAAGTGTCAGAAAGTGTCGGAAAGAAAATGTCAGACACGACACGTCAGAGTTTTTGAAGTATCGATACTTCGTAGGTCTCGACTAGTGATGGAGAATTCTAAACAATTTTTTTTTAAAAAACTGTAGCAGTCCTAGAGACCTAAAAGATATGTCAACGAAAAATTACATTGGCATATTATTCATTTTTAAATTTTCAATTATACCCACCGGTTAATTTAACTTCGCCAAGAGGGTAGGCAAGTTCAAGTGCTCTTACTTTTACAAACCTTTGCTAGAGTCAAACCAGGAAGCTTGCAATTCCTGACTCTGGGAGCATATTTTAATGATGTGTTTCCTTTGAAACTGCCTCATGATTAGGGAAGAGTGCAAATTTCCATGGATGACATTGTTGAGGGCAACCACCAACCAGAGTTAATTTGCATTAATAGCGGTTTTGTTTTTTTCCTAAAAATGGGGGATACAGCTTGATATTAATATTTCATTATCTCATTACATAAAATTCTCTGAGATCACAGGGTAGAGGAAAATGCATACAGTATCATTTTATTGCACTTGTACCAAAAGCGAGTCATACGAGCCATTTTGTAGGCTCACGAATTAAATACTAGATGAAAAACCCATTCAAGAAGAAAAGCATTAAATGATGCGGAACAACTTTTTAACAGAACACTGCAGCGGATTTGGATCTCTAGTATGGGAAAAATATCATATAATCATATTATTTGATCACACTCATTTATTGATAATGACATAAAAAAATATATAATTTTTAAATAAATAATTATATTCAAATTACATGATCATATAATTATTATTTCACGTAAGAGGATCCAAATCCAGTAAAATGACGCTATTTGACATCGCTGCTTAATTTTTAATTTTTAGATGCTTCGTTCAATTTCTAACACAGCTCACATATAAGGACACATCAGTCTCCATTCCTTCAATCTTCTTCGTCATAATAAGGATAAAATTTGTAATCTGAATGTAGGATTTGTATAGTTACAGTAAATCAAACCTTGATCATGACATTAGACAAAAAAAAATAAAAAAATAAATCTCAAAAATAAATAACTCTATGTTGATTTGCTAGCTGTAGCTATAAATTACAATCTTATGCAATCTCAGCCATAAATGGCTCTAATAAATTATATTACTGTGCCTTAAAGAACACTTTTTTCCCAACAGTTGTCAAGATTAATCCAACACTATTACATCCAGTAAACACTGAAGAAATTTCTAAATTCGGATTAAATCATAAAACACCATTTTCAATGCCATCTTCTTCAGCCTCACTGATACTGAACTCTGCCCAGTTCTTTGCCTTGCAGAGTTTTATGAAGAAGAAACAACCTATCCCACCTACGGTCATCACACCACTGACCAAATAAACAGTCTTGGTAGCTATAACCATTATGAATATTAGAAATCCAGAAGGTATCAAGCACATCACCACCAGCAATGGCAACTTCATTGGAATCCGGTAAGGCCTCTTTATCAATGGTGACTTCCATCTCAACCAAAGAAATGAAGCGAATTCCAACAGCATGCCCAAACTGTACAAAAAATTTGCAGATGAGATGATATCTGTGAAATTCATGTAAGAAACTGCAATTGTTATCAAAGTAGACACCAAAATCCCCAACCAAGGTGTATTGAACCACTTGGACCGAATCCCAAAAAACTTTGGCAAAATTCCTATATCTGCCATACCCAAAACCTGGTAAGCACTGCTGCTTAATTGTGCTTCAAACAGTCCAATTGCCGACAACACTGCACCAAACTCAATCCAAATTTTCAACCATTTCCCAGCAATCATTTCTGCAGCCTGCGCATGGAACCCAGTTTCCCAAGCACTCTGGTCCACAGAAACAGATCCAGTGACAGCAAAGAGTGGAATCAAGTAAGATACACAAGTGAAAATCACTGCAACTAGAAGAGCCATAGGGAAAGTTTTCTGGGGTCTATCAACTTCCCCAGCCAAAGTACTTACATTGTCCCAGAAATTCAAGTTCCAAAAGAGGGTATTGAAGAACAAATTCCAGTCCTTTTTTACACCCTTTTGGCCCAAACTAAGCCACCTATGGGGATGAATCTTTGGGATAGCAATAAGTGACATCAATATGAAAGGAGAGAGAGAAACAACAGCAAGCACCACTGCAGCATACCCAACAATTGTCAAACCAGTATAATTGAGAAAAGAAAGAGCCAGAGTTGAACCAAGAATCGCAACGTAACGAGGCCATCCAGACCCAAAAACTGGGAACACTTTCTTGACATAATCAATGCAGAGAACTGGGAAAGATGCAATATTGATGACACCACTGAGGAATTTCCATGTTCCCATGAGAGATCCCCAGAAGGGGCCAAAAGCGCGCTCGGCCCATATGACAAAACCGCCGTTACCAGGAAAAGCGGTGGTTAACTCGGCGGTTATGAGAGCTTCAGGGATACTCCAAATGAAAGGGAATATGAGGAACCCAAGAATGGCTAAAAGGGGACCCGCAGCTTGAACCGCAGGCTCTTCACCGTAGGGACCACCAGCTACTTCAAAGTAAATGAGGAATATTAAAGGAATCAAAGTAAGCTTCTTTGCACTTGTAGATGTAGTGGTGGTAGTGGTGGTTGTTGTGTCCATCACGGTTTTGGTGACTGCAGAAGTGTCTTCTTCGTCCATGACGAGTTCCTTACCTTGCTGCAGATTGAAAGAAAAAGAAAAATAGATAGTGACAGAGATAAAGAGAGGACAACGTGTGTGGAGTGTGGACTTCGCAGTTTGGGGAAATGGATCCGTAAGAAAAAACATTAGACAATGACATAAGAAGATCATAACCATACAAAGTTAAATTTATGATTTTGTAACTATCTATTTTACTATTTTTTCTCTCTCCTCGTTTATTAGTATTGATGCACCTTCTATGGTTATGATTTCTCACTTTACCATATCATTTGATTTTTTACATCAGAAGATCCGGATCCCGAGTTTGGAGGAGCAGAATCGTAACAAACGACAAATAAGATATGTTTGTTGACGTGGCGGGCTTGTGGCCTTGGTTCGACGCATGCAGATAGAGTGTGACTTTTTTGAGATATTTAGATAAAGTGTGTCTTTTAAGTAGTAAGCTTTAATTTGGTATCATCTTTTCTAGTTAGCCCCGCCTTTAAAGAAAAACAGTTCATTACAGGTGTATTGTTGAAATTGTTATAGAATTCAAATGATTTGGATAACAAGTTTTTTTTTTTTTTTGAGATTACAAGAAATTGAGCATAACATCCTACGTTACACATAATTTTAATACACACATTTCATACCACTAGGCTAACCTTAGTGGTATTTGTATAACAAGTTGGGTACAAAGATATGCGTTTTTTCACTATTAAATAGATTTAACTATTTATGAATGAACAGATAAGATTTTTTTTTATGGCCGAACAAGCATGACTAGACCTTATTTATAAATAAAGAAGAAAATCAGAATAAAACATCAGACTTTTCTTATTTATCTTCTATGCTGAAATTCTGTCATAATTAGTTTTGAAATTTTTTGCATTTATTCTATGCAATAGTTCAAACGTAGGTTGCGTTCGTGTTGTTGTTTGTTTGAGAGTGCCATGAACAAACAGATATAATCTGTTTTATTTTAGAAGACAATTGTGTATGAATTTTAGGCTTTATAAAGAGGACAAAATTGTGTTATGAACACAGTGCCAACAGAGCTCGGTTTTTTCTTGATTGCATTCATATATTTTTGTACGATACTCTTTAACTGTGTTATTGTATGTTTCAATTTCTTGTGTATATTTTATTAAATTGTGTGTAGTATAGAAGTGATTTCTCTAACACATATTATCTTCTCTTAATAATTTTAACATCATTTTGAATAACAGAACCTACATGTGAAAGGATTTAAAAATTTAATATCTTAACTCTTAAGGTTTTGAGTTAAAATTTGTTGGATTTTTTATTTAACCAATTGTTAATAGCCTCTTCTATTTGAGCTCCCCCATCAATTACCTAACAATTAAAATTATTCATGGGTGATTTCAAATAATGTCGGACTTAATTATTTATTATTCACACTTGAACTTTCATACCTTTAAAATAAGAATTTAATATTTTTTTTGTCATTGAAGTAAACAAGTAGAGCATGACAACATATCTGGCTAAATTTTGTTTGTGTTGTTCCTTGTGAGCTCTCAAGCCCGCACTTTTTTTTTATCTGTTCACTTCCCTCGCATATTTGTCATGAGTAAAAGCATAGGTACTATTTAAAGTTATCACAGTATGCACAAATATATTGTTCATTAAAGTGGCTTCCTATAACTATTATTCAGAAGGCCACCCTTCTAGTTATCCACAAGATGATTCACTGATCATATATTGATTTATCAAAATGCATCACTTTTGAGAAAACAATAGAATAGGGTGGAGAGAGGCTCAAATTGCAAAATGTTATAACTTCAAAGGGGTATATTGTAATATATGATAGTTTAAGGAATTAAACCGCATTACATGCCATAGCCACAATTTAAAGTGTTATTAATTATCCAAAATCTCAGATGAAATTAGTAAGTTGTTACTTATAATTTGATTTTAATTCAATTTATTTACAGTTTAAAATTATTTAAAAAGATTACATAATTTCAAATAATGTGAAATGATTACTATTTACTCTCTATAATTTTATAAAAAAATGGTTACAACATTTTTCCATTATAAATATGGAACAAATCAAGTTAATAGGAATTATTTTACATTATAATTATCAAATGAATAATTTGCATGCCAGCAAAATTTTTGCAAAGGCAGTCATTATATATATTGATCTAAAATTACTCTTTTATTGGGATTTATGCGTCAAATGGTAGAGGAATGTTATATGTATAAATTTTTTTGTTTATAAACTTAATTATATACTAAGGATAATACATAAATCAACTTATATACTACCTTTAGTATATAGTTAAATTTGTATATATACTAAGAGTAGTACGCAAATTAACGTATGCATTATTCTTAATATATAGTTAAATTTATAAATAAAAAATTTATAAATATAATTTTTATCCAAATAAATGCTAACTTTAACGACTGAACAACGAAATTTTCTCTAGCAAGTGTCAAATTCAAATCCAATTAAAACTCTAGAAACAAAAATCATGGAAACGAGGGACGAACTTACATGTCTTGACAAGCACCACTTACGAAACGGTTTCCTCATTCAATAAACTTTATGAAGAGAGAGAGAGAGAGGCCAACCACAAAAAAAAATACAAAATAAAAAAGACCTGTGGAAATTGAAACACACTTCCACTTCAATGTCCAAATAATGACTCGCACCAAAGAAAAGAAAAAGAAAAAGGAAGAGTTCCGAATAATGAGCATGAAGTATTTTTACAATAATATCATTAAAGTAAGGTATATCGATATGTATCAAATATTAGTAGTTTCAGTGTATAAAAGTGAAGTAGTTTAAGGTAAGAATATGTGTTTGATCCTCGTATCTTTTTTAGGAGAGAATTTTTTAATATGTTCTAAGATCACCATGGTTCTTCTACTTAAAAATTGACACATGGTCTCTCTTCTCTCACCTCCTCAACTTTTTCTCTCTTTTTCTTACCTTCGCCCCACCAAATCATTTTTGCTCCTGGACCACAGAAATATCGTTCAAGAGGGCTTTAAACCCTTAATCATCGACCCATTCCAAACAAAATTATCTTCCATAGATATAGGTGGCAAAACGGGTCAGGTCGGCCTGCCACGCCCCGTCGTCAACTCACTAAAAACGAGTTGGCTTGCCCCGCCCGCATCTTGATAAAACCCCAACCCACTCCGTTTTGTGGTGGGTTGGCAGGTCATCCCGTCTAAAAAATTAAAAATTAAAATTAAATTATATTTTATTAATTTTATAATATTACTTATTTTCATTTCACAATCCCCTTACTTTTTTTTTTCTAATCTTAAGCCTAAATGTATACTAATATTCAGTCAGACATTTTTTAGTAACTTACTTTTGCCTTCATATATGAATAATCTTTGTCATAAATAAAATTTTTCTTCTTTATTTTTTCTAGGGAAGTACTAAGATAAAAAAAATATCATATAGTAAAATCTTAGTGACAAATAAAATACTACCTAATAATAATAAAAACAAATTAACTCGTGGGTTAACCCTTCTCAACCCACCGCCAATCCGTTTTGACCCACAACTAAACAAGACGGGTTGAGGTGGATTGGTGAGTTGAAATATATAACTCAACCCACCGCGCTTTGGCGGGTTGGTGGATAAACCCGTCGGGTTCAACTCATATTGTCACCTCTATCAGTAGGAGATACATATGATTTATATAAAAAAAAAGTGATTTTCCAACGAGTATCGTACAAGAAAATAAAATGCAGATAAACAAAGGATAGGTTTTTCTAATCCAAAATGATTATAAACACAATACCCAAAGATTTTCTTCTTTTGACAAAATACTTTAAAAAATATCAATAACGAGATTGGAACCTAAATCATGTAGATTATGATTTATAAGACTTATTACTAATTCAACTCTAATTATTAACTAAAAAATTTAATTAATAATAAGTATATCCTGCCCCTAATTTTATATTTATTGTATTTTATTAGCTAATATATCAATATTTTATGTTGAACCTGTGTGTAAAAATGAGAGAAGAGTATGAATAATTAAAACACTCATCCAATACTTCAACTGATAGTTAGTCCGAGTTTTTTTTTCTTAGTTTTAAAATACTGGTTGAGAGTGATATTTCATAAAAAATATTCATATATGTTTTCAATTTTATTTTATTTAAAAAAAGTGACTAAAATTGGCTAGATACGATGTGGATTGTTATCCATTTTAAATTTTTCTTTATTTTTCCAATTTTTAATTACTCAAGGAAGCACACGTCCTTGGAAGTTGGAATTGCAATGCAAAATATTTGGCAGTAAGTGCACATTAAACAAAACTATAAAATTACGGGAATCAGTGATAGCTAATACTATAAAGAAATATCAATTAGGATAAATATCAACTCAAGGCAAAATCTAGAATTGGATCACAGAAGAAAAACAGAGTAAATTGAAAAGAAAAGAAACCATGGAAGCACCGCCTCTGTTCTTGACTATCTCTAGGCAAACTCATACTACACGCAACACACAGTATGAGATCCAAGAAACAATCAACATAGCAACAATTGGTGAGTAACTGGTTGCTGATGACACATTTGATGTATTGGGTGGTGAGGCATTGGTGGTGGTAGTAGTGGGGGTGATTGGTGTGGTTGTACTGGGTGTTTCTGCGGTGTCATTAGAAGGTGAACCCTTCCTTGATGGTGATGGTGATGGTGCTGGTGATGGTGATGGTGATGGTGATGGTGATGGTGTTGGAGCAGGAGCAGCTGCTTTTCTAGCTTTAGCTTTGACAGTAACAGCAAGCTTCATGCCACTCTCACAATGGCCAGGAATACCACATATGAAGTAATGAGTGCCAGCAGTTTTAAGGGCAACAGTAGTGGTGCCACTGCTATCTGTACTCATCGAATTGCCCCAAGTGCAGGTTTTGTAATCACTTTCTTTAACTTCATCCACAGTGTGATCATCTTCATAGTTGAAAACTGTCGCACATAAGGGATATGATGTAAATGAGGTGCTTCCTAATATGAATTTTGGAGATTAATAGCATAGCATTGTTCAGAAATTAAAAAGACCTTACCAAGGCTATCACCAACTACAAAGGTCAAGTTGCTAGCCCATGTGCTGTAATCAGCACCTATTGTCCAACCTGTTGTGTCTCCAACGGTGTGGATAGCTGCCCGTGTTGTTGGCAGGGCCATGTTGATTGCTAAAAATAGAACCAAAATAAACGCAATGGAGGATGCCATTTGATGAGATGCTGTGGGGAAAGAAAGGAAACAAAACACTGAGAGGCTTGTCTGAGGATGTTGTTGTAAAATGGGTTTGATTTATGTAATTGTATGAAGGGGATGTAGTTGTTAGAGTTGCGCACAATCATGAGCATGACTTGAGACCTAATCGCTAGAAAAGTACTCCTGTTCTTTCCAATGTTCATCATATCAACTTCATTGGATGGGGGTCTCTCATTATCATACATAATTACATGAGCAAGATCATGGTTTGAAAAATGAATATTTGCATTACGCCTACTTATTGTGATGCTCAAACTGATAAACTACGACATTCATTCAGCCCCTTCAACATGAACCAGCTGTTTCTCAAAAATGCCAAAAAGGGATAATTATGGAGCTCTAAACATCAACAAACATGTGCATGAAAAATATCATTACATTGTTCTCTGTTACTTACCACCATTGGGATATAATACATTTAAGTGATTTGAACCATTTTAGAATGGGTAAAATTAGTGATTGCGTGATGAATACTTCACATTGGATTAGGCCATCCATGTAATAGAATGTTCGAGTATTTTGAGGCAGAAGATTAGAGTTTTATTTCTAAAAAGGAAGAAAAAAGATAAAAGAAGCAGAGTAAAAATGAGGCGAAGGTGGGTAAGTATAGAATAATTTTTCTTATGATGCTATCAGAAAGGGAATTTGGGCAAGATTGGGGCGTCCGAAATCTTGATCGTAACTGCATACCACAACAAGACGACCGAGACCTGCCTCACGTAAACTGAAATCACCAAAAGCATTTTTTCCATTTGTCTACAGAATAAAGTGGGAACCGTAGCAGCATTTAACACCCCCTCTCCCTTTTCCTAAAAGGAAAATGATGGAATGGTAGAGGGAGCTGTTCGGTCCCTTTCTTTATGGCCGGTGACAGTGACCAACTACTGTTTTGCATTTCGTCAATGTCATGGGTTAAGCATCACTCCAGCTGGATTTTTATTTTCTTTTTTTTAAGCAAATTCTCTCCAATCAACGGATTTTTTTAATGTAGACCCGGTGCACCATTTTTAAGGTACACCTATTCCCAAGAAATAATTTCTTCCACTTAAATTTTTTTCTTCTTCTCAAATCCCCCTTGTCTTTTTTTTTTCATTCAAAGTCCCTGTCCATATAAAATAAGCTCCCAATCAACATAGGAAACAAAACAAGAATTATTATTATGGAGACGAAAACACCCCCTTGAAATTTGTCATTACATAAAACCAATTTGATTTATATATTCTTGGGAATAATCAGCATGAATTTGACATTAATCTTGCAAATATCCACATTATATGTAGAAGAGAATGAGATAAGAGCTGATAAAACCAGGTAGGGTCTTAACCGGAAGATGCCTTTGTTTACTCAAGCTTCACAAGCTCGTTATCAATCAAATTAATGGGGCAGGGAATGCTAAATAAGACAGGCACAAGTTTCACATCCTTCACACCTTTTTTTTTAAAGCTTTAGGATTAAAACTCGACTTGTGTTAATCATTTTTATAGAAGATCCAAATAACTCACAACCCTCACATTGTCAGCAATAATTTTTAAAATGTACTCAGAGTGACTATCAAGCTTGTTATGAAATAACTTTGCAAAATTACTGGCACTAGGGTTGTAATTTGATCCTCGTTATTGTTCATATAGTAAATTGCCAGCACAAATGTGTATGATATTACTAAGCATGCCGTTTTCATTTAGCTGCGTTCCTTTAGAACTAACTTATACCCAATTTAATCTTCAGGCTTTGGCAATGTCATCAATAGATGGATTAAAAGCCAATACTTGATTCAATTAGCTTAATGGGTGGCTACCCATAAAGTACAAAAAAGAAGAAGAAGAAATTTACTGAGTTATATACTAATATACAGTCCTATAGACAAATAAAGAAGTTGCTAGCGAAAAATTGCATCGGAGAGAAATTCAACTAAATCTTTCTACCTAATTGACAATAGGAAAAAATGTATATTATTTTAAAGGATGTAAAGTTGTGTCATTTTAAGATAGATAAAGAAAGAAAGAGAGAGTTGACAAAAATAAAATAAAAGTGTGAGTCTCATTTCTTTGTGAGAGTAAAATGACACAAGTTGTGTCATTTAAAAAGATAAACACTTTTCCCTTGATAATAAGTGTAAAACACATTTAAATATAAAAATCTAAAAATCAAATAGTGTAGGAGTTACTTGCAGCCAGGAGACATAACTAAGCAACACTATATTTTAAGGTCTTATAATTAATCTAGAAGGCACATTGCAGAAGGGACACTTAGACAGATAACGATGTCAATAAGCATCTTTTATGATTGGTCTTACGATTGTCAGAACGAGATATTTTTCTTCGAAGGCCCGGACAACTATCAGTCTATCACGCTTTGATGCTACTTTGTTAGTATAACTCTCAAAAACCTATAAAATAAAACACTAGAACTCTGGTACGCAACATTCTAACTTGGAGGTATGAACTAGCAATGATATTGAAAATGTCCACATTGAAATTTTAATGCTGAAGGTAAAGCATCCTGATGAACACATATAACTAGAGTGAAAGTCATGAGAAGACAGCCATTATATAGAGCAATTGCTATCTTAGAGCTACGTTAAAAGAGAAACATAAAATAAAACAAGCAGCCCCAAATAGTAATAAAATTGGCTCGGTGGGGAATGTGTTGGCATGGGTCAACCCTCAGGGAAATGCGCAAAGTCAAGTTTCTGTCTTTCCCCTTCTTCAAATATTTTTGCTTTGGTCTCATCAACCCATATTCTTCTTTTTTCTCCCCCATATATTAGAAGGGACATTCTTAGATACACCACAGCCAAATCCCCTCTCGGTCGTGAACTAAACAATTGAAAATGCAAGTAACATCAATAATATTGATGTGTTTCTCATGTTCTTAACACATTCAAAGTTCAAACAACTGTTACATTAAGAACTAAATATATACTGACTCCATGGAGATGTAATCATTCATTCTCAATGACGATTCCTTGAATCACAAAAATGTTCATGCTTTCACCTATCTACTTCTTGTATATCTTGAGCCTTCGGTCCAATCAACGGCTTAGCATTATCCTAAAGCACGAGCAAATAAACAAAAGCATCTGAAGAAAGAGCATACAGCACAAAATTTTTGATATCCAGCAGGGAAAACAAATGGTATCATTCAGCTTTATCAGTCACGCTCAGCGTGGAAGATGTCTCTCCAGAACTTGCACTCTCCTCCACTGCTTCGTTAACAAATTGCTTGTCCCATGCCACCCTGATTGGCCTTCCCATAAATATCTGCAGAAGAACAAATTTTCCAACATATCTCCAATAAAAATTAGCGTTCCAGACTTCCAGTTTAAGGACTTAAGAAGAAAAATCACAAGAACAATCACAAGAACAACATAACCAATATTTATGAATTACAAATTCAAATAAATTAACTAAAGTATAAATCTCACAGATTACCTTCCCTTGGAACTCAGAAAGAGCTGCCTCAGCTTCTTGCTTGGACTCAAAGTACACAAATCCAAAACCAGCAGGCTTTCTAGTATTATCATAAAATATGACCTCTGCGGAAACAACACCTTCACTTCCAGAATTAAAAAACTCCATGAGATCCTCAGAGTTCGCTTTATATGACAAATTAGCAACAAACAAGTTATATGTTCCAGCTGGCTTTGGTTTCACAGGAGGAGGAATTTTCTTCTTCTTTGGCCGGGCATATTCGACATTTATTTTGCGACCCTCAAACTCCTATAGAAGTATTCAAATAAAGGAAAAGCAATATCAAATCATAACAATGTTTACAATGGTTGAGAAAAGCTTTTGTACCCATGATACTTCAATAGCATTCTAATAAATGTTAATGAAAATGTTGAAAAACCAAACAATATAAGAGACAAGTGAAACATTGAAATGCTGCAGCTTACATACGATTCGAGATTATTTATAGCGGCAATAGCATCTTCCGGGGCACCCATTTCGACAAAGGCCAAACCCTTGTTTCTGGTCTTGTTATACATAGAGAGCTTAACAACAAAACAGACACAAACCCCCACGTGAGTTAAACAAACAAAAATCTGAACGCGAACACGAAATTAGAAAAAATCCCAAACAATAAAGAAATGAAGGAATAAAACCTCAACATCGAGGACTTTTCCATGCCTCTCGAACAAAGAACGAATATCTTCAGTTGTACAAGTCCAAGGCACGTTTTGAGCAATCAACCTTGTCCGTGAAAACTCTTCAGTGGGTGCCTCAGTTTCTTGGCCGTCAGGGGGAACATCTGATGGGGAAGAATGAAGGACTTGTTCTTGGGAGGTAGAGGCAAATCCGAGAGTGAAGTTAATGCTTTGTTTGGTTCTAACGTTTGGTGAATGTTCGAGGGACAGGCGCGGGAAATTACGGGAATGGGGTGGCTGAGAAAGAGAGAGATTGTTGATAGAATGGTGAGATTGGCGGTGAGGATTCTGAATATGTTCTGTGGAGATATGCGTTGTTGAAGGAAAGCAGAAAAGACTAACTAGCGCCATTACACTACTGAGAAGGATGGGTCTTACTCTATTCTTATTGTTAAGTAAAGAGGAGCTCGGGGATCCTGAGATTACAGCAGAAATTGGTTCAACATGTCAACAGTGAGGTACGAATTGAATATGGATAAGGATGAAGGGCGCTAATGGCATTGGCATTGCGAGTTGATTTTAAGAAGGGTTTTGTATCTATAATTTAACATGACCACAACAACTTTCCTACACATATAACATTTTGTGGGACCCACAATTTTTGAAACCAAAAAAAAAAAAAAAAAAAAACTCTGGCACGCAAAACGAATCTCTATAACATAACACAATCACTTTTCCTACAACATAACTCTTATTAAACCCTTTTAAGAAAGGAAGAAAAAGAAAGGGAGGGTTTTGAAAGGTTATTTTCTGTTGTTTGTGAATTTAAAAAAATGAGAAGAAGAAATTTGGGATTTTTATTAAACTCTCTAAAATTTTCCTTCCTTCTAAAATAAAAGTTCTCTCAATTTGGGGGGTTTGAACGAAAAAATATTAAAAATTATTTATCTACTCTGAGCGCATTAAAATGTGAAAACTACATAAATATGAATCATTTTTAAATGTGATATTATTAGAAAAGTCTCAAATACCGACAGAATTTATCGACGAAAAATATTTTGTCAAAAATAGTGATGAAAATCATATACGTCAAAATTTTTTCATTAAAACTAAAGACGAAATTAGAGACGTAACCAGATTTTGCTATAATGAGTGACATAAAATTTTTACGGAAAAAAATTCAGTCAAAATTATTGATAGAATCTAAATTCTGTCAAAACTTTTAATGAAAATATTTTCATCCAAAATTTTGACGAAACACATTTCCATCGAAAAGTTGCGACGTAAAACAATTACGTCAAAATTTTTTACGGAACAAAAATTTTCGAAAATATTTCCTTCAAATTTGTAACTAAAAACTTTTCTGTAAAAATTTTAACGAATTTTTTTTTTTGTCAAAATTCTTTATGGAATCTAGATTTCATCAAAATATTTACAAAAAAACATATTCATCAAATTTTTTGACAAAAAAGTTTTCCATCAAAATTTTCCACGAAACACATTTGCATCGAAAATTTTTGACAGAAAAAAATTTCATCAAAATTCTTTACAGAATCTAAATTTTGTCAAAAGTTTTTTGACAGAAACATTTTCATTAAACTTTTTGACAAATAAAAATTTCTATCGAAAATTCTCGACGAAAAATATTTCTGTCCAGTTTTTTGATAAAACACATTTCCATCACAATTTTCAACAGAACACATTTATGTCAAAAGTTTTTGATAGAAAATATTTTCGTAAAAAATTTTGACGGACAAAATATTCTATCAAAATTCTTTACAGAATCAAAATTTCGTTGAAAGTTTCGAATGAAACATTTTCCTCAAATTTTTTGACAAAACAATTTCCATCGAAATTTTGAATGGAAAATATTCCATCAAAATTTTTGACGGAATTATTTTTTCGTTTAAAACATTTGATGGAGGAAATTATTTTCGTCAAAACTTTTGATGAAAACTAAATTTCGTCGAAAATTTTGGTAGATAATTTATTTTTGTGAAAAATTTTATCGGGGAAAAAATTTCGTCTCTTTTCGACGAAAAGTATTCTAACGAAAAAATAATTTTGTGACGAAATTTTCATCATTTGCAACGTAGAAATTTCATCGAAAATATATTCTTTTTTAGTATATTGAAAAGTACATAAATAATTTTGTTAGAAATTTTAAATTTAATTTAATTCGTAAAATATAATAATTATATTTATTTTAAAAATGAGGTAAATTGATAAAAATATCTCATTAATCCTTTATTTTCCTCCCTTACCATTTTTTTAACTCCCAAACAAAGGAAGGAGGGAATACCCTTTAATTTCTTTCCCCTTAGATCTCCTTCCTTCCTTTTTCCTCCAAACTCCCAAACAAAGCTATAAAGGCTAGAAAATTGACCCTAATGGCATTATAATGAATTGTATATATCATATAGAAAAAGTATTTGTGATTTTGAACGATATAAATTCGTCTGAAATTTTTGTGTTAAAATGATAAATATTTTTTGTACCAAAAAAAAATTATAAATATTTTTTTTCATTATTTATAATTTTAAACTTTTTCTTTTAATCTGTTTATTTAAGTTATACCCAAATTAATATGGTAATATTCCCTACAATTTTCATTGGAAGGGAGACTAAATTATGAAACTTAATTTGTCAGGATATAGTTATGATCAAATATACTAGTGAAAGAACAAATTAAGCTTCAATATATATATATATGATCAAATTATATATATATATATATATATATATATATATATATATATATACACACACACGAGATAAATGTTACGATATGTATAACTTCTGTAATTGACAGAACTTCGATAATGATACAGAAATCATAAAGCAATTTATATTTATTAATATATTTCTAATTATTATATTTTTATACTTTTCCCATGTTAAAGCTAGTTCTATAAAATTAGAAATGCTACGAATATTGAATAGCAAATAATTTTCCCACAACAGCCTTTAGGTGGGTTAGTGAACAAGGTTAGAGTGGTTTGTATGATGTAATTAGTTTAAGCCGTAATACCATCATGGTAAAAAAGAAAAGTTGCCCACCTTCCATTAAAGAGTGATCCATGGCAATTCTTACAAGCGACAAATAGGCGAACTGATTAATTAACCCATCTGTAAATCGGACACACTATCATAACTTTGTATTGAAGAAATTATCAGGCCTGTTATTGACACTAATCACTTTACTTCTTATGCATGCGACAGTCCGGAGAGTTATATAGTAGAGGTGACAGTGGTTGCCTTGCTGAATCTGTGTCATCAAAATCAATCTTCGTCGCCATTGGGCTACTTGTCTTGGGACTACTAGATTTTCTCTTGTTAGATTTTCTCTTGTTTGACTGCAAAAGCCAAATAAATTAAATAAAAAAATGCTCAAGTTTAAAGGAGATATCATAATATGCACAAATATTACATTACATGATCCTAGGAGCCAGATCATTTAGATGAGAACATATCATACGCACGCAGAAAAGAAATGAAATTGAACTTGCAATTCAACTTCGGCATGCGCACGTGCTAAAAAGATTTTCTCACCTTGGCAGATGCACTGCTAGTATGTGTCCCACCAGAACCCGGATGGTTTCTTTCCTTGCATTGCCTCACTAATCTTTTGTTCTCCTCATCCAATATTCTATTTTCATCAAAAAGTAATTTGACCTATGGTATAACAATTTAGTTATTAATAATCCAAAAAACTGGACAGGTCCACAAAAGAATCATTCAATCCTTACCTCCTCTTCAGCTCTGCGAAGATTAACCCTTAGATGCTCCTTATCATTTTCTAGAGATTTGACTTCAGCAGCAAGAGCCAAAATTCTCCGAGTTGATGGCTTTAAGCTACCAAATCCGTAATGAAAAATCAGGCTTTTAAAAATGAATTGACGATACGAACAGAAACTGGTCCTAATGGCTATAAGCTATGGATATATTAATCGTCCGGCATACGAGACATAACAGGTTAAAATTGGGCAAAGGAGAATATGCCTAAAGAATAAGGGCAAAGTAAAGAAACAGGACAATAGAAGGAACAAAGAAGTAGAAGGCTCACCAGTTCCACATTGTCAGCAACTTCTTACAGTGCTCATTTTCACTATTTGCATATAAGAATGCATATGTAGAAGACTCATCTTCACTAGTGACTGTTGCTAAAAGGGAATCAAGCAAATTCTCTTCCCCGAGGGTCCTTGCAGAAGAAGAATCAACCTTTATTAAAAAGTAAATATCATTAGTTAACATTCATGACCAAAGGACTAGAACTAGTAAAAGCATTAACATTTCATGAGTGAAACAATAAACAAGAGCATTTCTATATTGGTAGTAGTATAAGTTTAATAATACGGTTCTTGACCTAGCAGTACCCCAATATATTATAGTTATACAAGGTGAGTATGCCAAATTATATCAATGCTTTATATTATCAATGGAAAATAAATAAATAAAGCATATAGAACAGTAGATGCAATGCATTTCAGGCTTCTTTTATATAGCTTAATAGCCCCAAGAGAGAATAGAACACTGCCAAATTCAAATTTCTATCAGCGAAAGTATATGTACTTAAAAGAAAGGCGATAAAGAACTTGGCTATGCATAACTAACACTCAATTATGCTCTCCAAGAGTTCATATGGCTTTTGCATAAGAAATCTAACAAAATTTAAGGAAGATGCCTAGCATGATTTTAATGTCAAAAATGCTATATTTACAACAGAAAATGGAATTCCAACTAATCCACGGAACTAAAACATAGAACCAACCCGCTCCCCAAAACACACAATCAAGGAGAGGAGTGTGTGTGTGTGTTTGGTTTTTTTTGTGTGGTGGGGGGGGTTCAGTACGGAATACATGATTGAAAGAACTACACCAATGCTTAATACTATTCTCGCAATCGCTAAAATTTTACACAAACGAAAACATTACAGTTTACACAGAAACACTTCTACCCTAACAAGTGGGATAAGGGTCAGTTGTTTTGTAAATGGAATCCAAATCAAATCTGAAATTAGGAACAAAGGAGCTTAACAGAGGAAAGAAGCCAAGAAAACAAAAAATAAAATAAAATAAAATGAAATGAAAATAGCGATACCGATTCGTTCTCGTGCTTGTATTTCTTCAACTCATGCTCCAACACGATCAAATCCTGTTCCAACTCAAGGGAACGCTTGTGAGCCTCCTGCGCCCGTTCATCAGCTTCGTTCCCAAACTCCATCAACGCTTCCCTATCATGATCATAGAGTGCACATTCCCTTTCCAATTTCTGGCACTGGCCCACCAGATTCTCACACTCTAACGCCAATTTCTGATTCTCTTCGACGAACTTCTTCACCGCTAGCGCGTTCATAGACGCCTCAGACTACTCCAAAATCAAGCCGAAAATAAAAAGGAAAAGAAAAAATATAATATTTTTTTGAAAACCAGTAATAAATATTAGCCAGAGAAGCCATAAAAGATTGAAAAGAAAGAAAAAATGGAAAGAACACAAACCCTAGCGCGTTCGATGAGTTCATCTTTCTCCTTCAATTTTGCTTGTAGGAGAATGTGCTGGTCTTGGAGTTGCCGCTGTGACTCTTGGGAGGCACGAAGCTTGAAGGCGAGGGTTCGGGAAGACACGGGAAGCCCCAAGCAGTGATCAATGGATTCCTTGATGTAATGGTCGATTTCTGGAGGAAGATCCATTTTTGTTGCTCAAACTCAAAGACGCAGGTTCAGAATCAGTGGTTCTTGATCAAGAAAGAAGATAAAGCGGTAAAACCCTAATCGCTGAGAATGGTAAATTGTGAAATTGGAAGGGACACATGGTCGAAAAATGAATCGACATTAAAGGGTTTAATTGTCGAGCGTTAGAAATCTCTCTCTCTCTCTCTCTCTCTCTCTGGATTCAAATTGAAATCTGTGTATAGCCGTTGGGACGATAATTTAATTTTCAAATATTAAAGTATCATTTTCTTCTCCAAAAGCCAAAAGGTGGAGTTCATCATATATGCTTCGTAAAAATAAAAAATATTAATTTAAAATTTTAATATTAAGAAATAATACCAATTAAATCCAAAAATAATGATTTTAATGTAACTTTTTATTATTTAAGGACTAAATGAAGTTTGTGTAGGGGTGTGAAAGTTGGAAATGGCCTTGAAGGCCGATGCATGCTGGAGGGAAAAACAAAACTTTTTCATTGCGGAACACACATGCATTCAAGATCATGTTTTAGGAAAGCATGATGTTACCTTGTTCGTGAAAACTCGTGATGATCAAGGTAGGTCTGAAGGGTTCAGACCCTCTAACGTTGATCCACACCACCCACTGCGTCTAGGTGCAAGAACTCCTTCTTGTGAAACCGCCAAGTGATCACTACAATGAGGCTTGCTAAGCGCACACTGTGTGAAGAGAAAGGCTAGGTAAAAGTGTTTGAAAGAGTGAAGCTTTCAATGTGAAAACTTCACAAAAAGTGGCGCAGGAGAGGAGAAGAGAATGGCTTGATTGGTTTTCTAAAAACCCTAGAAGTAACATATATATAGAGGCGCTGGAGGTGCTGGAGATGATGCTGGCGCCAAAAACTTGTTGCTACTCACGGCAAGTGCACCGATCGTACAAGTAATATATGATTAAGTAAGAGATCGTTCCCACGAGGATTACGGTTCAAGCACTAATTCACTATCGCAAACTTAGTTGGACAATCGAAAGTGTATTTGGAAACAGGATTTGAATTGCAAAATTAAAATACTAAACATTAAGCTAATTACTTGCAAGAATTAAAGACAAGAAATTAAAGATGTGATTTAACTAATAAAATAAAAACGTAGCTAGGGGTTCGATTTCATGTAATCTCCTTATTACGTTTGAATTCCTTCTTAATGTTAATTGTCCTTAGTATCAATCTAATCAATTCTTTCACATGTTATTAGAGCTCAATCCCTTGTTACTCTAAAACCTTTACAAAATTGGAAGAACCCTAGTTCCCCGGTTATTCCCCAAGCATGCAAGCATTAAATTCAAGAATCTTAAAGATTACGCAAACCCTATGTCTATCCCTAGAATCATAACGTTTACGATGAAGTTATCAGATATGGATCACACACCAACATTCCTATTGTCATGCATTCACCGATGATCATTATATAAGATTCAAGCCTATATAAAGCATTAAAAACAGATAACTTCATTCATGATATAAAGGAAAATTAACACAGTGAATTGTTCAAAACATAATAAATCGACTAAAATCCATCTAACCCTAACTACTTAAAGAACTAGCCGGACATAGCAAAATCAGGAACAAAAGAAAATAGAAAAGCTCCCCCAAACTCCATAAGTGATTGGTGGATCTTCAAAATCTCCAGTGAACACTTGACGTTGATCCGTCTCCGCCGCTCACGAACATGAATCTGATGTTCCTCCGCGTTCCTTCAGCCTCCAAGCACCCAAGAGTTGTTTAGCAATGTGAAAGTTATGTATTTCTGGTCCCCAATGGTGTTTTTATTGGCCAAGAGTTTGTATCCTAGTAGAAAACTCGAATGGGCCTAAGTTGGATCTGTCTGGGCGCTTAAGCCTGTTGTAGCGCGCTTAAGCGCCCTAGGACAGTGAATTCTGATTCGCGTTGCGCGCTGAAGCGCTCTGAAAGGCGCTTAAGCGCGCTCCTCGCGACAACTTTTTCTTCTTGTGGCGCGCTTAAGCCCTGAGTTGAGGGCTTAAGCGCCCAGAGGCAGTAGCTATTTGCGTTTTTAGGGAGCTTAAGCTTCTGAATGGGGGCTTAAGCTCCCACTTCTAACAACTTGATAAGATCTTCAATCTTATTGTTTTTGATCTTCTTCTATCATCTCTTGATCTCATCTTTTCTAGTTGTGATCTCTATTTATCCAATCTTCATCTTTGACTCCTTTTGTCAACAAATCCCTAAAAAATAGCAAAGATGATTCTATTAAACAAAAATTCAGATAATGTTCATGATTATTATATTAAACCCTAGTTTTTGACTTATTTAACTTGATATTTTATATTAATTTAGTCTATAAAATAAGATAAACTAAAGGTTTATCAAACAATTCCCAGATTTGAACATTGCTGTCCTCAGCAATTAATTAGAATAAAACTATGGGAAAGTTTGGAGACGGCTAGTCATGCTTGATGAATAACAGGCAGAAAACTGATCAATAATGAGATATCAAAGTATTCAGATTTATTAAAAATCAATGACACATCAATTTCAAGCAAACAGTCAAAATTCACCAGTCATAAAATCTTAACATGCGTTCTCAAAAGAAAGAGTAGTACAATTTAATTTCCACAACACCCTCTCACTGGATTTTTATCTATTCACTCACACTCAGTGTTTAAGGGTATGTGTTTCACTCTTACTTCACTGAATTAACACTACCATAAGCTTGTTTATATTCTCACTCTCCACAGTCTTACTAGTGTACAAAGTCAATCAAGAGGTCTTTGTTAAGGTTGTAACGTGGCTTAGGTAAAAGGAAAGGAATCATCTGGGTAAGTGGCTTAAGATAACTGATCAAAATTCAACTTCAAAGAGGAACTAGTTTAACTGTTCAACATATAGTAAACAGATTTCTCTTATTTTCCTCCTCTTTTCTTCTTCCACTTATTCATATAATAAAAGTCTTTTATTTCTTTTCCTTCTTCCTTTTGTTTTTCTTTTTCTGTTTTTGTACAGATAAACAGTTCAACCTTTTTCTTTTCATTTCCTTTTTCCACCACTTTGTGGCAATTTCCCTCTTTTCACCTTTTTCTCCCATACACTTAGAGTTTGATTTTCTCTTTTTGTTTCAATCCTATCCAGTTCCTCATTTAATTTTGAAAATTAATCAGTTCAGGTGAGGATGTGTATGGAATGGCTATTCTTAATGTACTGTCAATGAACAAACATGTCTCGTCTCAAAAGGGCTTAATCTAAGAATAAACCTTCAGGGTGGCTATTTGGCTATCTAGCTTTTAAAAAGAACTGCCTCTATCATTTCAACAATTGTATACTACAGACCATTTCAAAGAGAAACAAAACAAGTTCTAGAGTGATTCAACAGTAAAGTTCACACCACAAAAAAAAAATTCTGTTTAGGCTCAAAAGCTTACGGCTAAGGATGTGAGACTTATTTCCACTCTCTCTTTGATCACTCTAGTTATTCTTCTCTTATTCCAGTGAACTATGAAGCATGCTTGACTGACGCTCATTTATGTACGAAAATAAATTTTATTTACATCATTATACTCTTGATATCAACTATCAACCAATTTCATGTAATTATTCATTATGCATTTATATCAAGCACAATGGAAAATCTCTTAAGATCCAGTAATTATTTATTGACTAAGATGGAAGGAGTCTTAAAACTAATTTAAAAAGAAAAACTTAAATAATAAACTAACTAATATATATGAAGACCTTAAAATAAACTAATATGTAATCAAAATAATTCTAAAATAAACTAATACTAAATAATGTAAAAAATAATGAACTATAATATGAAAATAATATTAAGAAACTCCCCTGAAAAACTGCATTTGTAAATTGGATATTTATGTGTACTCCGTGTAATCATGAGTTTCTCCTTCCGACCTTGTGAAGTTTATGGTCTGATAAATTGCGTTGGTACCCATTCCCAGATTTAAATCTTGTTGTCCTCAGCAATAAATTTAAATCTAAAAAGAATCCTAAGCAAGATATCAGAAAAAATGATACTCTACTCTGCACACATGTCACAGATAAAGAAACTACGTCAGCATGTCATATATCCAAAAAATATCAGTCATGTCAGGTCAGTCTCAATATACCTCCATATCAACATGCACTAGACTAATAGTAAAAACAGCAAAATAATAAAAAAAATAAAAGTCTGAAAATAGATAAACTGATATGAAGATCAGTCCTCCTCCATATCAGTGGTGGGTGTGTCGTCATCTCCTGCATCCTCCTGGTTGGCCTCAGCAGCAGTGGCATCATCAATGCGGACTGTATCATCCTCAGCAGCAGTGGCATCATCAATGCAGACTGTATCATCCTCAGCAGCAGCCGTCTCAGTGTCAGCAGCAGTGGCATCATCAGCAGTGGTCGGGCCTGGGGCCTCCTCATCAGATCCAGCATATGCTGGATATGCGAATGGTGATGCCTGTCTGTCCTGCTGGCGACATAGCTCGACCATCTGTGCGCTCATATAATCCTGAAAAGCCATCTGTCTGCTCTGAGAGTATCTAGCTCTCCTCTGCATAGATCCCTGCTGACGCTGCAGTGACTGCACTGCCTCCCATATAGCAGGGATATCTGCCTATTTGTTAAAAACAAATCAGATTTTTAATCAATAAAAATCCCTTCCAAAAGGGCGCTCCATCAAAGAGAGAGAATAGGATTTGTTGCAAATCAAATCTCATCAAATCTTGCCAACAACATCCTATCATATCTTTATGATATATTAGGTTCAAAACCTAATCAAATATTTGATCATAAATCATCATATAATCAGTTATATGGTGCGCCCCATATAGCCTAAATAATGACCAGATACATTTGAGTAGTTGCATTCAAACTTGAATCAAATCACTCAAATATTCTCCCAACATATCGTATCTTCTGGAGCTGATTCTGATGACTAACCAACAGCCAAATCAGCATCCCCAATCTTCTTAGATTATGTCCAAAAGATCTCCTCTTGATATGTTCCAACAAGATCTCATCTTATCCTTTTGTTATGAAACAACTTTTCATAGCCAATTCAAATTCGAATTTCAAACATTTGAATTCAAACTTTCAAACACTTAAATTTTAAATTCAAATTCTAAATTCAATTTCAAATTTCAAAATTCAAAATTCAAATTTCAAATTTCAAATTCAAAATTCAAAATTCAAATTTCAAAATTCGAATTTCAAAATTCAAATTCAATATTCAAAATTTAAACATTTGATAATTAATTTAACTAATTAAATTAATTAGTAATGTCTTGGACTATCCAAGCCCATTACTTAGATCCATGCGCCCTCCACCCTATCTGTGGAGTTCCAAACTACTTCTTGGGCTAATAACAATTGTTAGGCCCAATACCATTAATGCTAGAGCATCTAGACAATTAGGTGTTAGTGTGTGACCCATTAGGTCCAACATAGCCACTGACATAAATGGGTTTGTGCCCAATAAGCCCACAACCCATCTAATGACAACACAGAGCACTAGCAATGCTTTGTTACCCCAGAACTAGTTAGATTAGTGACTTGATCATCCTATTGCACATATTTGGTTGCCGTATATATTTCCTTTCGTTTCGGTTACCTTCCCATAAAACCTAGGGTAAGGAAGCGTATCAACCCCTGCAGTTTAGGGTAAGCTTTATTCGAAATAGGGAATCTTCAATTTACAGACTCTAAAGGCAGATCATCTCATGATCTCTTTTACTATGCATAGATTCCCGAGTCCCTGTAAATGTCATCCCGATTTCTCCGGTTTACAGATAACCTAATCTCTCATAGAGATTTGACGAATTCCTTCAGCTTATCACCCTAGCCCTGTGTTCTTTCAGGACAAGCCCAACAGTATACCTATGAGTCTCCATGTCTCAGGCAGACGAGGTGCACAATCAAAGCATGCCTTCTAGAACACAGTCTATGTAATAACTTCTGGTCTTAGGAAAGACATACCCAAATATAAAGAGACTACTCTAATGATACTCTCTGTAAGAGTTCCTCATAGAGTCTCTTTGTGGGTCTGTTCAGTGCGAGCTATACCCTTATAGGTCCACCCACGACTTTAGCTAAGACATCTCCATATCTGTAGCACATGAGGTCTATATCTTGTATCCATATACAAGTAGATAAGTCGTGCTAGTCTTACCCGAGATTACTGACCCCATTCTCAGTATCTCTAGACTAGGAACATAAAATTAGGAATAAACATCCGGTATTCTTGAATCCTCATAATTGTGATCTCATCACAGATACTCAAGAGATACCTATTTTATTCCACGGGGTTTATCAAGTTATTCATAATATATTAACATTAATATCGAGACAGAATTATGAAACAAGATAAAGAGTGCTTTTATTTATTTGCGACAATATTAAAAAGGTCTACATCTATGTCCTTATTTAATCATAAGATTGTCTCTAGGACACCCAATAGGCTAGGTTAGGTTAGATTTTGGCTTAAATAGGTTAGACCTGTATAAAAGACATTGGGTTTGGCCTAGTATGTTAGCCTGTGTAGGCCCCAAATTACAAGTTTGGTATGACTTATATTTAAAAAATAAAAATCTTGACCTAGGCCTGTTAGCTGTTTAAGACTATTAAACATTCAACAATTAAAAGAAGGGTTCATTTTTTCTGCAGTTACTGCAAATAAGTTATCTGCAGTAAGCCTAATTCATCTTTTTGGGGCGGAAATCATGGTGTTTTTGCAATTTTAATTTATTTCAGAGCTATTACAGTCTTTATAATTAAATTATTTAATTTTTCAATCCCAAAACGACATCCTTTTGGAAGTAAATGCAGATGACTTATATTCAGTAACTTCAGAAATATTATTCTGTTAAAAGTAGGGGTGTTCATCAACCGATCCAAACCGATTCAAACCGCGAAAACCGAACCGAAAAACCGATAACCGAATAAACCAAAAAATCGAAAATCGAAAGAAAACCGCAAATTTTAATTGGATTTGATCGATTTTCGGATGGGTTGCTGAAAACCGATCCAATCCAAACCGATCCAATATATTAATTATCCTCTACCTACTTGTCATTTCTCCAATCATAGCCCAAAATTTTTTAAACTCAAGACCCATTAACTTATCAATTAAACCAAAAAAAAAAACTTAATCATGTCTCTTCAACTATAGTATTGTTTACTGATATTTTTGTATTTCAAATATTTTTTTTTTACAAAGCCAATATATACAAAAGATGTTATTTCCACAATAATCATGAAACTAATTTTAGGATATTCAAAAAACCGAAAACCGATACAATCCAAACCGAAAAAAATTGGATTGGATCGGATCAGATTTGAAAAAAAATCTAAACTGAATGGATGATTACATGATCAATCCGAAGAGATTGGATTGGATGAGTTTTGCTTCCAAAACTGATCCAATCCAGACCGCGAACATCCCTAGTTAAAAGAATAACTAAAATAACATTACTTTATCATTCAAAATTATTAAAATAATAATTTTATTTTTTTTATTTAAAATAAATAATATGATACATGTACAAAAAAAACTTATGACCTGTTTTTTAAATAAATTTTTTAAAAAACCTAGGCCTGTTGTAATAGGTCAAATCTAACCTAATATAAGTTAGATCATAAGCATGTGTAGGTCAGCCTAACTCATTTAGATCCCTATGTGTGTACGTGAGTGTGAGCATGCTTTTAAATGACATTAAAAAAATAAAAGAAACTGGATAACATCGAATCCATAAGTTGTATTTAATCAATAACCACTACTAGTGGTCCACTGGCATGAGAATTTTAGTTTCTTGTTATTTTTTCGAACTTCATCGCTTTCTACTCTCTATCTTTTATTCATCACTTGATAAAAGAAAATTAATGACAAGCTCATCTTTCGTAAATCCATGTTTATTGGAAATTAATTATTAATTTTTAATAAATTATAATTGTTAGATGGATAGAAATCAACGATAAATAGTTTAATAATAAGAATAGTAAAAATTTTCAATAGTAAATATAGCATCTTCTGTTATAATAATGTGTATTTGATGTGTAGGTAGATTTCTTCATGTCTTTCTAAAAAAAATTTCCTAAGAAAACTTTGGCATAATAATTAGTGGTTAGTTGTTGTAATAAGTTCAGATAACTAATAAATTATTTTGTAAGTAAATGTAACATTTATGACCAAATTTCACATTCACCCCTCCCATTTCTAGATAAAATATCTGTATATTATTGGCATCTATTTACTATCTAAGACCAAATAAGAAAATAAAAAAAGTGGTTACCTATTCCAATATTCCATGTAAGATTTATATAATAAAATAAAGAGCTTTGAACTTCTCCGTTACAAGAGAAGTTTGAAATTTCTAGCAGAAATAAAAAATGGTGGGGCCTATCTTTAAAATTTATATATTAAATTAGAATATAATGTCTTGATAGTGATTTAATCATTTAATTTTTCTTCTTCAAAATTTAGCATATGTCATCCTCGAATCTTGACTTTTTTTTTCAAATTTAAAATTAAATCCTTTTGAATTAAATATGAGTGTTTTATTTATAATTTAAAATCATATTCTTTTAATTTATATTTTTAAAATTATACCTAAATTAATAATGCACACATTTCTTACAATTCGAAATATGTTCAAAACAATTTTTTTGAACTTAATTTGACCTAAATTTAAAATATATACTTGTCTAATGCGTTGAATATTTTGCTAGTCTTATATTATATTCGGTCTATATATAGGTTTTATAGATCACAGAAAGACTAATTAGTTGATCTCATGGGAATAAAATCATCAAGAGATATCTTCGGTTAAATCAGTTACAAGCTCCGCTATAATTAATATTGAAATTACAAACCAAAAAATAAAAATAAAATAAATAAAATAAAAAAGTACAAACATAAGTGAACTTTCCCTCTCCCCTTTTTCTGTTCCAAATTATGTTAAATATTACATTAAATGTTGCATTGATGTACAACCGAGTTTTCCTCTCTACTTTTGATCTTTTGCTTCTGTAGTTGGGACAATAGTTTTTTCTTGATGAGTAGTTGATTCAAGAAAGGACTCGAATTCCTTTTCCATGTCTTCTACCTGCAATTTTGTGTAAATTCATAATTGCCTCTTGAACTATTTGTGTGTTAGGGTTAGATTTATTTTCCTGTCAATGTAATAATAATTGTGTGAACTAGATGTATGAAATTAAGCTCAACAACTATTGTGATTGGACCAAATGGTGGTAGCTCAGTTGAGAGTAAATGAGCTGAATAAGTGGATAAAAAGGTCTTTGGTTCGGTCTTCACATGCCATTTTTTGGAAAAATTTAAATATTTTCATCCTTACCTCGTCTCGCACTCCGAATTAGTCCATAGTCGTCTCAAAGAGTCGAGTTTGTGCAGATACTCTGAGAGGAGCTAACTCGACTCAAATATGTAAATGTGGTGGAGTTAACTTAAAAAAAAAAAACTGTTGTGATTGGAGGAAATGTGAAGGCACGGTGGCTCTGGTAGAGTAACAACAAAGTGAAATATGTGAAGAATATCTCTTCAATAATAGAAGGATATTTATAGGGGTGGAGACCCTGAAATAGGTCATGTTTGAGCCAAATCGTTTTTGTCCTTACGGATACCACTACAAGTGAGGCAGCGCAACGCAATGCGCCCTTAATTGCATATGTGAAGCGCAAGTTCAAGGGATGCAATATGGTGTAGAGAGAGTGTATTTGTCAGGCTTTTTGATCCTTATAACCCTTTATTAATAATTAATTATCAAATTGACCTTCATTATAAACTATTTCAAAAATTTAACCCCCTCAAAAAACATAACACCAATCTGCCCCCTGTTTGACCGTTGACCAGCAAGCCTACCCGGGTACACCCCTCCCTACCCGGGTATTCAAAAAATACCCGGGTAAGGAGAGGTGTACCCGGGTATTGTTCTTGGCACATGAAAAATTGTTTGAATTATTTACCCGGGTAGGTAAGGGTGTACCCGGGTAAATCTCCAACACATTCAAATATGCGTTGTTTATATGGCTATAGGTGTTGTTCCTACTTTCTTCTTCGCAGAGACAAATTGACATGCTTGCTCCACATTTGACTTGACTCAATTGTCATAAAAAGTTCACTGATTTAATTTGGCCAGACCAAGAATAGGGATTTAGATGCAGATTTTTTCCTTCTAAAAACATAAAGCTTTTGAATTGCCAGTTGAGATGGTGCTACTATTGCATCATTGGTAGTATATCATGCTAACCTGTAATGTGCTTCTGGTGGAACATTGTCCTATGTGACTGAGTTTCTTTCGGAAGTTACGGTGTCATGTTCATGTCATAGTAAATCATTATCTCGTATCTTTCCTTCTGCTGCTCAGAAGCTTGACCAATCAAAGCTGCAAGAGGACAAATGTTGGTGTACAGCTGTTTCTGGTCAAAGAAAGTGAAGAGACGACCAAAGTGGATGGAAGACTAAGAAGAGTAGAATGTGCCAAAGTGGGGTGGGCAAAAACAGGGGCCAAGAACAATTTTCCAGCTGTGGGGTGTACTGGAGATTTACCCGGGTAAATAATTCAAACAATTTTTCAGGTGCCAAGAACAATATCCGAGTACACCTCTTCCTACCCAGATATTTTGTGAATACCCAGGTAGGGAGGGGTGTACCCGGGTAGGCTTGCTGGTCAACGGTTAAACAGGGGCAGATTGATGTTATGTTTTTTGAGGGGGTTAAATTTTTGAAATAGTTTATAATGAAGGTCAATTTGATAATTAATTATTAATAAATGGTTATAAGGGTCAAAAAGCCATTTGTCTCACTTTAAGGGTTTACAAGTTTAGCCCCAAATAGGCTTTAGTAGCCGGTTCATAATATTGAGCCGGTAAAACCGGTTCAGAACACCTTTTATTCAAATTATCGTGGACCAAAATTTCGCCACTTCTTGTATCCATTTGCCCTTCAAAAGATTATTTCAACTGATCTTCCAGGAAGAGGTAAATAATAGCAGTTTTTATCTAAATTCAGCATCACATCTTATTCAAATAATGGACTAAAATTGCTCACATCCTTAACATTTATTAAAGGACAAATATTTTCACAACTACCCCATCAAAAGATAATTTAAGCTGATGTGATAACCAAGAAGTAAATTATAGCACGTTAGTATTCTACTTTTTGGTAAAGGCAAGTTGGTATTCTTATATTGGTTTGGAGGAAGGAAACCTGAACAAGGCATCTTGATTGAAAATTGAGTTTGCGACAACTTGAGCCTTGAATATTACATAATAGAGATTCCAAATTCTAGCATACTAGTTAATGTCCAAGTTTATCTTATCAATATATAGGAAATTTCAATATTGTGACTATAAGACTAAGTCAAATCATAGAATATAAACCTATTAGATAATCCATCCTCAGATCTATCTAACCCGCCATAATTTTAATGTTGTGACTATCAGATCTATATATCAAGTGCACCCATACTTTAAATAATTAATGGGCACTTTTTCTAGTCATAAGCCATTAGTAGTTTAAACAGCTGAGACGTTCAATGCTGCTAACATGGGCTATTAGTTATATTCACATTGATTTTGTAAAATAAGAGCCTACGGCTACGGAATAGATGCTTTAGAGGTTTATGAAAGAATATAAAACAAGGCATTAGGTAAAGTTGTGATAAAAAAAGATAAGGGAGTAGTTGTTCGGATAGAAGTTAAAAGTTAAAACCTTTTCTAAAGCATCTTCTGCATTTTTGGCTTGCTTGTCTATATCTTCAGCAATTTTTTCAACAAATTCAGCAGTATCATGAAGTTTTCCCTCAGGAATATTCTTGACAGCCCCTTCTGCAACCTTCTCCACTCCCTCAGCCACTTCTTCTACAACGTCTGCTATCTGTTCTGCTTCGTCTATTACTGTATCGATTTTCTCTACACAAAAAAAGAAAAGAAGCGAAAAAAACTCATCAGTCATCACACATGAATGCAAATTTTGGAACTGATTAATGCAAATAATAACACATTCTTTTTATGGTTAACATGGATCTTCTCTATTGTTAAAAATAGAAATTAAAATTGAAATGTTGTTTCTTGAGATAGGAACGAATTTGTTTATTTGTTGCTTACTGTTAGGAGGTTAGCATATTTGTAGAATTAGTTTCCTGATTTTGTGGCTTAGTTGTTAAAGGCCATCTGTATATAAACACCTCACTTTAGAGGTATGACTATGATGAATAGTATTCACTTTATAGAGAATTCATTTTTTAACATGGTATCAGTTTATTATTGATCCAGGCACCACATTGTTTATTTTTTTCCCTTTCTATTTTTAACACTCCCCCTCAAGTTGGTTCATGGATATCTGTCATGCCCAACTTGTCAATAAGTTTTTTAAATACTCTTACAGAGACACCTTTTGTCAGGACATCTGCAAGCTGGTCTTCTGATCGAACATGAGGAATCTGGATCTCTTGATTATCTATCTTTTCTTTAATAAAATGCCTATCCACTTCAACGTGCTTAGTCCTATCATGCTGAACTGGATTGTGTGCAATTTCTACTGCAGCCTTGTTGTCACAGAAAAGTTTCATGGGCTGATTATATACATCTTTTACCCGACCCGGTTTCCTTCGTTACCCGCATCGTATCTCCACATCCTCTTCTCCTTCTTCAATGGAAATCCCTAATCTCAGCGATGACAACTCCACCCCAACACCGCCACCTTCCCCACCACCTCCACCTTCTCCGACACCAAATATCATCATCCAACAAGATATTTCCTCCTTTCCAGTCACTGTGATTCTTGATGAGTCAAATTATCCCCTTTGGTCCCAATTAATGGACATGCGTATTGGAGCTAGGAACAAATCCGGCTATCTCACCGGAGCTACCGCGAAACCTCCTCTCACCGACCCTCAATATGACATCTGGGTCACCGAAAATAAGAGAGTGAAGAGTTGGCTAATTGAATCGATGACCCCTCCCTTAATGCAACGGTTTATCCGACTCGAATCTGCAAGCGAAATTTGGGATGCCGCCCTTCGCACCTTCTACGACGGAGCGGACGAAACCTGCATCTTCGAGCTTCATCAACGCTCGTTCTCCACTAAACAGCTTGGCCGCCCTCTCTCCACCTACTACAACGATCTCCTCTCCATCTTCCAGGAGATTGACCACCGCGTGGCATCCTCAGCAACCACGGTCACGGCAGTAACCCAAGCTCACTCGTCTATGGCACGACTGCGGGTCTACATATTTCTTAGCGGACTGGATTCTGAGTTCGACCAAGCCCGCGGTGAGATCCTTCGTAAAGATCCAAAATTGGATCTTGAGAACACTTATGCGTTCCTCCGTCGTGAACATCAACAACGCCTCACCATGAACCGTCCACTTGTCACACCAGACTCCTCTGCCATGGTCACCCGTTCTCCTACGGTGCATTCCTCTTCCAAGTCTCGCAAAGATTTCTCTTCTGGAAAACCACTGATTTGCTCTCACTGTGGTGATTCGGGACACTCTAAGTCCCGCTGCTATGAAGTAATTGGATACCCCGATTGGTGGGACTTCACCAAAAGGCCTCGAAGGAAAGTTGCATCCAAAGCTCTGCAGTCCTCATCCGAAGGTGACTCATCTGCCTCTCCTCAAGCTCATGCTGTCTACGCAGGTATTTTAGGTAATCCCTTTGCTTTCTCTGCTCACTCTAGTAATAGCGCATGGATTATTGATACTGGAGCATCAGATCATATGATCCGCGATGCCTCTGCCTTGAGCCAATGCTCTCCTTGTAATAAATCAACCATTACCACTGCTAATGGTGGTTCTGCCCCCATCACTGGTCAGGGCACCATTTCTTTGACACCATCTATTACTCTTAATTCTGTCCTCGTGGTCCCTTCTTTGGATTTCAATTTAATTTCTGTAAGCCAACTAACTTCACAACTTCACTGTACCGTGATTTTTTGGCCCACATTTTGTGAGTTTCAGGACGTCCGGACACAGGAGACTCTTGGCTATGGTGTTAGACATGGCAACCTCTACTTCTTGGACCTCCCACATGATCCCCATTCAGAGCCTCTGACCTCTGCTACCAGAATCTCTGACTCCACTCCTCCTGCAGTTTCAATTTCGGATTCAAATAAGTCCAAAATCTGGCTTTGGCATACACGGCTTGGACATCTCTCCTTTATTTCCCTTAAAAAGTTATTTCCACATCTGTTTTCTAGGTGCAATCCATCCTTGTTTAAGTGTTCTGTCTGTGAACTGGCTAAAAGCCATCGCATTTCGTATTATCCCAGTCCTAATAAAAGTTGTATTCCTTTTCAAGTTATTCATTCAGATGTATGGGGACCTTCTAAGGTTCCCTCCCTCTCTCATTCTCATTATTATGTATCTTTCATTGATGAATGTACTCGCATGGTTTGGATTTCACTTCTTCGAAATAAAACTGAAGTCTTTTCTCTGTTTCAGCAATTTCATAGCATGGTTCAAAACCAATTTAATAGCTCTATCCAAATATTTCAATCAGACAATGGCCTTGAGTACAAAAATAAACCATTCTCTGACTTTCTCATCCTTAAAGGAATCAAACACCAAACATCTTGCACCTATACACCTCAGCAGAATGGTTTAGCCGAAAGAAAGAATAGACAGTTATTAGAAGTGGTGAGAGCCTCATTATTTGGTATGAATGTCCCCTCATCCTATTGGGGAGAGGCAGTCCTCTCTGCTGCCTACATCATCAACCGAACCCCATCCAGTGCACTGAACTTTCTCACCCCTCAACAGAAACTTGAATCCTATTTCTCTATTCCTCATGTCACCACCTTAGAACCTAGGGTCTTCGGTTGCACTGTCTACATTCATGTGCCTAAACCACTGCGAAATAAACTTGAACCTTGTGCAAAAAGATGCATCTTTGTAGGCTATTCTGATCTCCAAAAAGGTTACCGTTGTTATGATCCCATTTCCAAAAAATTACATGTCACTCTTGAAGCATCTTTTAGGGAATCCGAGGCTTTCTATTCAGGGGGAGTTCTCAATCCTTCTTCTCAGGGGGAGATTCAGCAGATCAGAGAAGAAGAACTCTACTTTCCAGTAACCATACCACCTACACAAATTACAGAACCTCCTACACCAGCAAATTCCACCACTGCAGCAACTCCTACACCCGAAGGACAACCATGTCTATCACCCATAACCGAATCTCCTGCTATGGACAGCCCCGAAGAACAAACAGAAAGTATCACTGAGGTAATTACTAATTCTAGTCCTCAAAATTTAACTCCGGAAATACAAGTCAGAAGGTCAGAAAGACAAAATAAAGGTATACCCAGAACCTTGTATGAACCAGACCTGAGTACAAAAGTCAAATACCCCATTAGCAGTTTTGTATCATCCCATAGGCTCTCCGGATCATATGCTCTAATGATTGATCAATTGTCTACTGTAGCTATTCCTAACAATGTGCAGGAAGCATTGGACAATCCAAAGTGGAAGGAAGCAATGAACATCGAAATGGAGGCACTTCAAAGTAATAAAACTTGGAGTTTAACTCAGTTACCAGAAGGAAAGAAGACAATTGGATGTAAATGGGTATACACAGTGAAGCTAAAGGCAGATGGAAGTATTGATAGATACAAAGCAAGACTTGTGGCGAAAGGATACACTCAGAAGTATGGAATAGACTATCAAGACACATTTGCTCCAGTGGCCAAGCTTAACACCATCCGAATCTTAATATCAATAGCAGCCAACCGAAATTGGCCCTTGAAGCAGTTTGATGTAAAAAATGCCTTCTTGAACGGAAATTTAGAAGAAGAAGTATACATGGAAGTCCCTCCAGGAGTAAAAGCGAAGGAAAATAAAGTCTGCAAGCTAAACAAAGCATTATATGGTCTTAAACAATCACCAAGAGCGTGGTTTGGAAGACTTACTCTTGCAATGAAGAAGTTTGGCTATAGACAGAGCAACTCGGATCATACACTGTTTATCAAACAGAATGAAAGGAAAATTTCTATACTTGTTGTCTACGTAGATGATATGGTTCTAACGGGAGATGATTTAGAAGAAATAAGACTGCTAGAAAAGAAACTTGCTGCTGAATTCGAAATGAAGAGTCTAGGAGAACTGAAATACTTCCTCGGAATAGAAATTGCAAGGTCTAAACAAGGAATATTCATGTGTCAGAGAAAATATACACTGGACATCTTATCTGAGACTGGAATGATGGCATGTAAACCAAGCGACACTCCTATAGAGATGAATCACTCTCTTGGTATATACCCTGAGCAAGTTGAAACGGATAAATGCAGATATCAAAGGTTAGTAGGAAAGCTGATTTATTTATCACACACTAGACCTGACATTGCCTACTCTGTAAGTGTAGTAAGCAGATTCATGCACTCTCCCAGTGAAGAACACATGAAGGCAGTATACCGTATTCTCAAATATCTGAAGGGTTCACCAGGAAAGGGTCTTCTATTCTCAAAGAATAAAGAAGCTTGTATAGAAGGTTATACAGACTCTGATTGGGCTGGGGACAAGACCACTAGACAGTCAACTTCGGGATACTTCACCTTTGTAGAAGGAAATCTTGTCACATGGAGGAGCAAGAAACAGAAGGTAGTGGCTAGATCTTCTGCAGAAGCAGAATTCAGAGGGATGTCATATGGCATTTGTGAGTTAGTATGGGTCAGAAACATACTTGCTGACTTAGGAATTAGATATAATCAGCCCATGAAACTTTTCTGTGACAACAAGGCTGCAGTAGAAATTGCACACAATCCAGTTCAGCATGATAGGACTAAGCACGTTGAAGTGGATAGGCATTTTATTAAAGAAAAGATAGATAATCAAGAGATCCAGATTCCTCATGTTCGATCAGAAGACCAGCTTGCAGATGTCCTGACAAAAGGTGTCTCTGTAAGAGTATTTAAAAAACTTATTGACAAGTTGGGCATGACAGATATCCATGAACCAACTTGAGGGGGAGTGTTAAAAATAGAAATTAAAATTGAAATGTTGTTTCTTGAGATAGGAACGAATTTGTTTATTTGTTGCTTACTGTTAGGAGGTTAGCATATTTGTAGAATTAGTTTCCTGATTTTGTGGCTTAGTTGTTAAAGGCCATCTGTATATAAACACCTCACTTTAGAGGTATGACTATGATGAATAGTATTCACTTTATAGAGAATTCATTTTTTAACATCTATATTAATTATTACCTTTGAGTTGCAACAAAGGTCCCCACTTGCCCTTGGAAAAGGACAGAAGTATCGTGAATATTGTTCCAATGATCCAAACTTTCCTGCTAGAGAATGTCTTTTTAAAAATCTTCATCAATTGCAAATTCAGATTAGACTAAAAGGGGTGGGGGAAAACACAAGTTACATATCAGATATCAGAGTTTGGTTGGGAAACGATGAGTTACCAATGACCAGGAGAAGGATCAACAGGAAACGGGGCTTCTGGGGGTATGCTAGCGTAGACAGCCATGTTCCTGCGTGATGGAATATGCAATTATCTTACGAACTAAGACTTAGATTTCCAAGAAGCTAACCTAAAGAAGAAGCATTTGCAATAAAACTAACAATATAAGGTTATGCTTACATCTTTCTTGTAGCTTCATTTTGAATTCTAAAGCCCGTGTTCTGTTCTGGAAGAGAGAAGCGATTATATTTGATCTTGGAGTTGAATCTAAGATGATGAATTGGATGATCCACCTTTGAAGCTTGACATCCACTGAATGACCCTGCGGCTAAGCAAGTAGCCTTTTGAGTAAAGATTGTATTCGCCATCGGCATGTGAATGAATCTATATTTGTAACGATCTGAACATTTTCTTAATGAGAATGCCGGGGTTTTATAAGAGTACTGAATTAGACAGGACGATCAAAATGGTATGACTTTTATATGAATTTGTAATTTCTAATTTGGTATTCACAGACTTTCACACGCAATATTTTATGATAAAGTCAATTGATTAAGTCGTCATTTGCAAAGTAGAAGAGTTTTTTTAATGGAAGAAACTAAATTGCACCACAAATAAAGACGAGAATTGTCGATAATATTTTAATAATTCAACTACACTTAAATTATGATCGAAATGAATCGGTCTCCTTGCTAATTTATTGAAAATAACAATATCCCATGAGAAAATACATTGCCTAGACACTCAGCTTCTTGGAAATCTTGCAGGTCACGAAAGCTTGAAAATAACATGGTGTAACATCTCGTCTCCAGCCGGTTCAATTAACATGTATATGATACAAACAGAAACAACGGAAGACTTAACTTACAAAAATACGAGCTAATTTTTTTTTTTCTAGTTTAATTCTTACTCGGCGTAAACGAAAATCAGACAGAGTTTTCTCTATAAATCGGACAATTGGGGATTTTCCAATCCCACTCAGAAGAGTTTTCTGATAGACAGTTTATACAGCAATCTCATAGACCCATCCTTCTTCTTAATAAAGATTACCGGTGCGCCCCACAGAGACACACTCGGCCTGATAAAATTTTTACTAGACAGGTCTTCAATCTGCTTCTTCAATTCAGATAATTTCAGAGGTGACATCCGGTATGGGGCAAGAGAGATAGGCCCCACGCCAGGCAACAAGTCAATTGCAAATTCAATTTCCCTCTCTGGAGGAAAGTGTGGAATTTCATCCGAAAATACATCCTCAAACTCGAAGACAATAGGGATATTAGAAATTGGTTCCTCATTGACACCAACCAGTCCCCCAACAGAATAAACCCGGAATCTCCCTCCTTCAAGGCCTTTACAACCCGTAGAACAGACAAATAAGGAGACTCCCTCTCTTCATCATTTGACGAGACATAAATGGTTTTACTGCAGCAGTCAATCTTTACACAGTACTTAGACAACCAATCCATCCCCATAATTAAATTCACAAATGCAAGATGTAAGACGATAAAATCGGCAGAATATTCCCTGCCTTTATACTTGAATTTCACATTTTCACAAATATAATTTTCATCAAAAACACTTCCCACAGCCGTAACAATACGCATAGGAGTTTTCATTATTGTCACACGCAGATCAAATGTGTTAGCTACATAGTCAGCTACAAAAGAGTGTGTGGTACCAGAATCAAACAAAACACTAAGCATTTCATCATGAATAGAGATCATACCGCGTACCAAACTAGCTGATCTCTCAGCCTCTTGCTGAGTCACTGCACATACTCGGGCAACTGGAGGTGGGAGAGGTAAAGATGGTTCCTCAACCACAATAGGAGCCGGAGTAGCCTGAATAGTAAAAACCTGTCCCCCATTAAAGGGGCAGTCCTTGATAAAATGCCCTGCTTGGCCACACCTGTAACAGAGTCTTTGTTCTCTCCTACAAACCCCAGAATGGGCTTTTCCACATGTAGAGCATTGAGGAGCGGATTTAAGACCTGTCTAGTAAGAATTTTATCAGGCCGAGTGTGTCTCCGTGGGGCGCACTGGTAATCTTTGTTAAGAAGAAGGATGGGTTCATGAGATTGTTGTATAAACTGTCTATCAGGAAACTCTTCTGAGTGGGATTGGAAAATCCCCAGTTGTCCGATTTATAGAGGAAACTCTGTCCGATTTTTGTTTACGCCGAGTAAGAATTTAACTAGAAAAAGAAAAAGTTAGCTCGTATTTTTGTAAGTTAAGTCTTCCACTATTTCTGTTTGTATCATATGCATGTTAATTGAACCAGCTTGAGACGGGGATGTTACACTTGGTACAGTGCAAAACATACGAAGTTTTATTTTGGTTAAGAATAAATTAAATGAGAATTATATAAATGAAATGATCCATGTACTCAATACTAAAGGCTTTAAGTTCAAATGTGATGTTGGATCCACTTGTTATGATATATTATTGCTTATTGATGATGGTGGTTTCTTCTAGAAAAGCATTAATGATCATGGTCTTTTTTAGAATAGCAAACAAGTATAAGGCTCACAAGGAATAAATTAGGTGTTTGTTTGGATCCTCTCTTTTTAAGTTAGAAGCTACTTATAAGCATAAGCTAGGTCAAATAGGTTTTGATAAAAACGGGAGTGGATCCTCTCATGTGCTAATTAACATGACCATATCATGTGGGGCAATCATAACCATATATGGGTGGATTAATGGTGATAAGGGAGGAGAGAAAAAAATATAATGATAGGAAGTTACACAATCATCACCGTTAATTTAATTATTAATGATTAAGATCCTCTCACATGACATGATCATGTTTAATTACACATGAGAGGATTCATTTCCAAACTCTGACAATGAAAAACTCTCTTTTTTTATAATAAAGAAAAAAGCTAAAATCTAACAGCTATTAATAGCCTGTTTGGACCCTCTATTTTTTAAGCTAGAAACTACTTATAAGCTAAAGCTAGAAAAAGAGCTTAAAAAAAGTTAAAAGCTGTTTGGTAATCACATAAAAATTTTAGCTTAAAAGTTACCTAAAACCACATATTTCAAGAAAATTATCTCTCTCACTATTTTTATAATTCTTTATTTTAAAAAAAAGCACACAATTCAAGAAAAACATATAAGAGCTTAAAAAAAGCTCATCATATGGAATAAATCTTTGGTACTAATGCTGTACCAAAGATTCAGTACATCCCACCAATGAAAATATTACATGTCAGTTAAAATTCTTTTTTTTTTCTGTCAAAATTTTTTTCTCTCCTCTGATGTGTACTGCTCTTATTGATGAGATGCACTGAATCTAGGTACAGCAGTAGTACCAAAAATTTATTCCCTCTTAGGAGCTTTTAGTTTTCAGCTTTTTTCTTCATTATAAAAAAAGAGATTTTCATTATAAGAGCTTTTTCCAAAACCTGTTTGGCCTAACTTATGCTTATAAGTAACTTCTAGCTTAAAAAAAGAGAGGATCCAAATAGGCACTTAGGAGGAACTTTTTTTTAAGCTCTTATATGCTTTTCTTGAATTGTGTGTTTTTTAAAAAAAAATAAAGAGCTATAAAGATATAGAGAGAGATATAATTTTCTTGAAATATGTGTTTTTAAGTAACTATTAAGCTAAAATTTTGACGTAATTACCAAATAGTTTTTAGCTTTTTTTTTAAACTTTAGCTTATAAATAACTTCTAACTTAAAAATAAGAGGTTCCAAGCAGGCTCCAAGCTGGGATCATATAAGTAAAATAACTCGTGAAATCAATGCTTAATGTTTTAGATTGAGACCTGATGTGAGACTCAGTCAGTGGCAGACCTGTTTGGTAGCCTATGTCCGCACTTGCAAACATAAATTCCTGATTTGTTTTTTTTAAGCATAGTAGTAAAGCATGATGTTGGTTAGATTAGACTTTGCTTGGATATATAATGAGGGATGAAATAGAAATGAATGAAATACGGTGGGATGAAATGGGATGCCATATATTTTATTGGATATTTTATGATGTCATACAACAAATCAGCTTGATTAAAAAAAAAAAGTGCTGGGAATAATTTTTTATGTTAAGTTGATTTTTTTCTTTTCTTATTTATATTTTTTGTTTTTAATGCATTTAAAATTTTCTTTAAAAAAAAATTTCAAGGTTGTTGCCGCCGAACCCCCATCGTTAAATGTGTGGACATAAATAATCTTTTCGGGGTCCGCCACTTGACTCAGTTATCACTGTAGATCGTTACTTATTGATCATGATGGTTTCTTATGGAAAACCAAAGAAGTTATACAAGACTCACAAGGAATAATACAATTATTTACTGACAATGGGTTAAGTAAGAAATTCAACAAATAAATTAGTGATCCAATGCCATATTTTAATCTAAAACCTTAAAGACATTAGCTAAATTTGTGGTGTAACCTTTCACTCACATATTCCTTACTTCGCTAATTTCTAACCGATATGATCAGACTTAATTATTTATCACTCACACACACACACACTTATAGATTGTGATTTAACATATGGAGAGAAGTAAAGTTGACATGAAAAGAATGTAGGAATACTATCTTAGCATAGGTGCGTGTGTGTGTGCATACTACGGCACTGTGTGTGTAAAGCAAATGTGGCTTCTTGGACATTTCCCTTTTTTGTACTCTACTACAACATTAACTTTTGGTTCTAAACTATAGTGGTTTAGAAAGATATCTCGTTTGTTTAATTTGGTTCAAATTTGATTGAGTTATAGGTCCTCTAAGTTGTCTCTCAAATCAGGACAACATGAATTCGATTCCTTGGGCAGCCTCGGTTTTAGGAAAACTAGGAGTGATTTCTGCCCAGAAAATTCCGATATTTAGGGACAAGAAATTAGACACTTGGGGCTTTATGATGATATCTCGCTAGTTTAATTTAATTAAGAATTGAAGGAGTTATGAATTTTCTAAGTTTGACCCTTAATTTCTATCCTAAACAGATACATGCATATCGTCACAATTCACTTCCTCATCTAAGAGGTTTTCATATATATGGCAGTAAACCAATTTAGCTAGATCATCAACATACTATATGATCACATGACATGAGAAGTCAATCTAACATTAAGATATGCACACAATTACAGCCACATAGTGTCTTCATACAACAAAGTATAACTCAACATGTACATGCATCACTTTAGCTTTCAAAAGTACTCAGTCTCTATCCATCAAAATATTACTGCTCTAGCTATTCTTCATTACAAAAGACATAAATATTGGCAGGTCCACACTAGTTGCGACAAGGAAAATATCTAGACATATTTACAAGAGTCCAATAACGGCACCAAAATGCACAACCATAAGTTAAGATTCGGTTAGCAACATCTGGAAGACCTTTCAACTAATTAATTTCTTTCGAATAATGCTATCATTCTTTCTCAGTGATTTGAATAGTGGCTTTTCCTCTGTCTTCTTTGTTACCTGTAAAGGCAGCCCCAAAAAGGGTGAGTACATCACTCAATAAACCATAGGAAGTGTGAGGGATTTCCCTCGGGGGGGGGGGGGGGGGGGGGTTTGGTTCAAGTTTTTGGAGAGGATTACCGGTAATCCTTCTTTGGTAAATGTAATTACCACGTTTGGTAGAAGGAATAAATTACGATTCCCGGATATCCAAGGATTACCGGTAATTTGATTTATAAAGAAAAGTCACTATTCAGATTACCAAAAATAATATGGTAATTCGGAATACCAATCAGAATACCAAGTAAAGGGAAAGCACAACAATAAATTTTGAGACAAAAATACCCCAATACACATAAAAATCTAGACCCAATCTATCAATTACAAAAGTAAAAATAGTTTGGGGTTATTTTTGTAAAATAATCTCATATTCCAAGTCATATTTCGTTCTAAACCAAATATGGAATCAGTAATTTTTACCCAATATTCCCGGTAATATTTTGGCGAACCAAACACATCTTTCGTAAGATTCCAAGTATATTCAATTTCTACTGAATTCCCATTAATCATGATTCCCGGTCACCAAAAAATTTCTCTTGTACCAAACACACCCTCAAGGTATTCAACTACATCCTTGTGGTTCCTGCAAGAACATTAGATAAATATATATAAAGAGGAATATAATTCTATTAGAAGGAAGTCAGAATTGTTCTCTTCAACAATTGATAAAAACTGGACAGAATTAAAGCAGTTCTCAAACATGTAAATTCTGACAGCATTTATGTAGCATATAGTAACTCATATAATCGAACAAGTCATCATCACTTTAACATCTACTTCTATGCATCAACACATGATAACTTCTCATGCAATTTCATACATGCAACAACATTTTAATACCATCAAATATCATAGGAATTCATCAAACATTATAACTCCTGAAATACTTAGCTTAATCAAGTTCGTTACATCCTTGGGCTGAATACACGAAAGGAAAAAAAACTTAAACTTCCTAGGTTTACCTTATGACACCTAACTTGATTGCTCCACTCTTGTCACCCTTCCCCTCTTTCTTGTACCTTGAGTTTTGCTAGAAGATTCCTTTTAAAACTTCTTTAACCGAAGAGAATTGATACCTACAACAGAGAGTCTTTCTTTAATTCTTGCGTTGAACTGCAAAACATAGATGAAGGGGTTATGTCTATAGGTTATATTCTCTACTTACCTGATCCGAATACCAGAAGAGTTTCATCCTTCCTGATTTGATTCAGGTTCAGATTCTTGCATGCAAGATCCTATATGCAGAATAAAATATAACTGTTATCACCCTTCCTCCATATTTACCATTAATTCTAAGAAATAGATTGGATCCATTCTTACCCTTTAGTTCCTCATCCCGACCTGCCAAACTTCCAGCCCTCTCTAGCTTTTTACCTTCGGTTGTGCCGTCAGCAGAAGCTGCAAGTGATAACAAAATGAGCGATCTTCAAAGAGGTGAACTTGGTGATAGAGAGAGTTTGCCTCCCCCCCTCTCTTATCTCGGTTCAGTTTTAAGTATCTACTCTAGTCCTTCCTTAGCATGCAACCCTTCAATTATGGTGGTAGATGAACTTAAGTGAGGTGTCAACTAATGGCTTCCCCACTCATTCCACATTAGTAAAATTTGATGCATAGTGACTCACTTAATCCAATTGACTCACGATTCCTCTCTCTGACCAGCTCTCATTTTATTTCTTTTTGACCTTCTTAAATTAATTCTTGTTAACTTTTGGTTCTTCCCCCTCTTGGACATTTCCCTGTTTTGGACTTTACTATGGCCACTGTTCATGCTAAGCAAATGTACATGCTAAGTGCCTGCGCGCGCGCATTAAGATATTAATCCTACATTTTTTTTCATGTTTGTAAAGAACCTTCGGAACCCCAAAAGTTAGCTTAAAGGTAGGAGTGCCGAAGGCCTTATAAAAGTTACATTAGTTGTCCCCACAATCAATGTGGGACTATATATTTCAACACGCTCCCTCACGCAAGAGCCCTATGGGCTAGAAGCATGGAAATGCACAGACCCAATTTTTTGTTTATCTTTGTGTGCTTTTTATTTTAATTCCACTTGAAAGTGGGGGGCCGTGAGAATCGAACTTGTGACTTTATAGTCACTCAAGCTCTGATACCATGTAAAGAACCTTAAGATACACTACCCCAAAAGCTAGCTCAAAAGGTGGGAGTGCCGAAGGCCTTATAAAGGCCACATTAGTTGCCCACACAATCAATGTAGGACTATATATCTCAACAATGTCAACTTTACTTTTTTCCATAGTGTTAAATCACAATCTTAACCAAAAATAGGAGGGAGAAAAAGGTTGAAACTCGGTTCATATTATGATTTAGTAATGTGAAGAGAAGTAGGTAAAATACATATGAACAAAGGAGTTTGCATTTGTCATTTAACATGACACAACAAACTTTTCTACACACACAACATTTTGTGGGACCCACACTTTTTGAAGAAAAAAGAAAAGAAAAATTACGGCACGTAAAACAAATCTCTATAACATTACACAATCATTTTTCCTACAACACAACTCTTATAAAACCCATGAACAAATTAAGGAAAACAAAATATCTTATATTTACATATACAGGGGAAGCAGTGGCGGAGCCAATTGGCTCCGGCCAGTGCTTTGGCCCTTGTTAGTTTTAAAAATTTAGTTATATTTTAAATGTGGGTAAATAACCTAGTTAGGTTGTAGCACCTGAAAGGGATAAAATTTAGTATTTGACACCGACTAAATTTTTTTGGCACGAGTTGAGTAGTTTTGTGGTTCCGTCACTTGAGAGGAAGGATCTTTCGACTCCTGGGTAAGAATAAGAAGTCTTATTCTCCATCTTAATCGTTAATCTATGTGCATTAAACAGTTACAGTTTATAGTGTAAGACTAACAAGTCTTACACCACATCTCAACCGTTGATGGACGAAAATCATCAGTTGATATTTGTAGTGTAATTAATGATTAATTAATTTGTATGACTTCTTAAATTATAACTGTTGAGATATATAAAATCATTAAAAAAGTCCTCACCTACTAGCTTAAGCTTTTGGGTTGAATTAGTTCTTTACATAGTATCAGAGCCTCGGTGTACCGGGTTCGATCCTTACCGCCCCCACTTTCTTTCTAGTGGAATTTCGTTCTTCGCACAGGTAGGTGGTATGGGTGTTCATCAACCGATCCAAACCGATTTAAACCACGGTAACCAAACCGAAAAATCGATAACCGAATAAATCAAAAACCGAAAAAAACCGCAAATTTTAATTAGATTGGATCGGTTTTTGGATGGGTTGATGAAAACCGATCCAATCCAAATCGATCCAATATATTAATTCCCCTCTACTTATTTGGGTCTTTTCCTAATCATAGCCTACAAATTTCTAAACTCAAGACCCATTAACCCATCAACTAAACCCAAGAAAAAATTTATTCACATCTCATCAACAAAATTTTATCTTTGTAGACTTTCATATCTCATTGCCCAAACCAAAAAAAACTATATTTAGTTTACTAATACTTTTGTATTTTAAATTTTCTTTTTACAAAGTCAATATATACAAAAGTTGTTACTTGCACAATAATCATGAAATAAATTTTAGGATTTTCAAAAAACCGAAAACCGATCCAATCCAAACCGAAAAAAATTGGATTGGATCGGATCGGATTTGAAAAAAAATCCTAATCGAATGGATGATTATATAATCAAACCGAAGGGATTGGATCGAATGATTTATGCTTCCAAAACCGATCCAATCCAGACCACGAACACCCCTAGTAGGTGGGCCTGTGCATCGTCCACCCTTCAAGCTCAGTGGGCTCTCGTGTGAGGGGGCATGTTGAGATATATAAAAATCATTAATGTAGCCTCATCCAATAGCTTAAGCTTTTGGATTGAATTGGTTCTTTACATGGTATCAGAGCCTCGTGTCCCGGATTCGATCCTCACCGCCCCCACTTTCTTTCTAGTGGAATTTCTTTCTTCGCCCAGGTAGGTGAGCCTGTGCATTGTCCACCTTTCAAGCCCAGTGGGCTCTCGTGTGAGGGAGCGTGCTGAGATATATAAAACTATTAAAAAAGTCCTCACCTACTAGCTTAAGTTTTTGAGTTAAATTGGTTCTTTACAATAACCATTGGATACACGAAAATCAACTGTTGAAATGTGGTGTAAAATGATCCTGATCCATATATAATATATGGGTTTATCATCTATCATTTAACATGACCACAAAAATTTTCCTACACACACAACATTTTGTGGGGCCCGCAGCAAAAAAAAAAAAAAAAAAACTTCAGCACGCAAAACGAATCTCTATAACATAACAGAATCACTTTTCCTACAACATAACTCTTATAAAACCCATAATATATATATGTATTGTGGTTTGTTTTATTTATTGTTTTGTACGCTTGCACATTTTGTCAAACTCTTTCATTCTCAAACTGATCGATGCATACTATGTAGATGAGTAATAAGCATCTTTCCAATACTATGCGAACGTGTTTTTCTCTACTTCTGATCTTTTGCTTATGTAGGGGTGACAGTATTTTCGTGACGAGTGTTTGATTCAATGAAGGACTCTAACTCCTTTTCCACGTTTTCTACCTGCAAGTTTATTCAAATTAAATTAGTCATCATGTCTTACTCAAATGTGAGACCAAAAATCTTCAACGTTTATCAAAGGATAAACTCTTGTAATTAGTCCATCAAAAGATAATTTCAACTGAGAATTCAACAAGAAGTAATTATAGCAAGTTAATTTTTTTTTTTTTGGATGTAAGTTAAAAAATTTATTTGGTTCGAAGTAAGAAAATCTGAACAAGGCACCTCGATTGAAAATTGACTTTGTGACAACTTGCATGATGAATACTAAACAAGTTGTTGAATATATTGAAGCTATATATATGTTAGGCAAGTTCTTTAATATTAATAGGAAACTTCTACCATTGCGATAATAAGACTGAGTCAAATCATCGAATAGAAACCTATCAGATAATTCTTCCCAGATCTTTCAATCTCGGCCCAATTTGAAGTTTTTGAGAAGAAATAGCAGATGCCCTTTACCCAGTGCAGCTCAGTTGGTAACTTGGCGCTGAGTTAGTGGGGTTAGATATGTGTTCGATTCCCGCTGAATGCATTCTTGGGAAGGGGGCTGAACCTTTAGCCATCACTGTTCTCCCGCACTCCGGATTAGTCCCATAGCCGGCTCAAAGAGTCGAAGCTCGTGGGGATGGATACCGGAGGGAGCCAACTCGTCTCAAAGAGATAATTAGAGTTGGGTAACTACAAAAAAAAGCAGATGCCCTTCTTTTTTCAGTTTTGTTTTTTCTAGTCAAGTACTTACAATACAACCATAATTGACACAAGATTTTTTGCTAACTTGTGCTTTAAAAATAAATATTTTTAAAATTAAAATATTTATTACTTTACAGTGAATCATTTGAAAAATGAATAAATAATTTTTGGATGTCTATGAGCATATTGCATAGATATAAGTATATAATTGATAAGTTGTGCAAACTTGAATTTGAATTCAAATGTGAACAAGCTATCACTCGTATCTTGTGCGATATGCTCCTCCAAAATTTTAAAATATTAAATGTTTGTGTATATCATCCAAACAGATATTAAAACCTTTTCTAATGCATCTTCTGCATTTTGGGCATGCTTGTCTATTTCTTCAGCTACATTTTTAACAAATTCAGCAGCATCCCGAAGTTTTCCCTTGGGAAATGTTTGACAAGTGACAACCCCTTCTGTCACCTTTTCTACAACTTATTTTCTTAAATATCACGTCAACAGTGAAATTTTTCAATATGTCACGTGGACAAGTTCGCTACAGTGCTCAGCGAACTTGGTAGCCAATGATTTCGTTACAAGTGGCACATTTTGGCAGAAAAAATTGACTGCCACGTGTCCAAGTTTTCTACGACTGGTAGCGAACTTGGTAGCCAATAATTTTGTGACATGTGACACAGTTTTGTAAGAAAAGCTGACTGCACGAAGTTCCCTACCAGGGATAGCGAACTTGGTGTGCTAGGTGGCACAATCTCATTGTCCGATCAGAATTAATGTTCCAATCACAATAGAAAAACAGAAAAAGAAGAAAAATGACAATTAATTGTCATTAATGTATTAATCACAATTAATGTACCAATCACAATTAATATATCAATCACCATTCACAATTAATTTTGATCACAATTAATGTACCAATCGCCAATCACAATTAATGTATCAATCGCAATTAATTTTGATCGGTACATTAATTATTTGTGATATCATTGTTACAAATTCGAACGATGTTTGTGAGAGATAAAATATGTCAAATGAGATGTCATTGGGTAGATCTCGAAAAGTTATATGAAATAAAATAAAAAATATCTGATTTGGATATCCGAATCAAAATTTATGGCCCTCCGAAGTGATTGGTGATTGGTACATTAATTGTGATTGGTATAATCAAAAGTTAATCTTATTTGTACGCTAATTTTGA